GAAGTCGGTGTATAGCACGATGCTAAAGCCGAATGTGGTAACTGGCTAAATTCACAATTTAAACCATTTGCATAATTCAGTATAATACCGCGTATACCTGAGCTCCTAAATACCCCCGCCTATTTTGAAAATTATTAAATTTTATAGCCCGGCTTGTTTATTCTAATCTCCAATACAAATCAATACCCCAAATTGTTCACAAAACTATTAAAACAAGCCTATAATCGATTCATATAATATAAAAAAAGATATAAAGAGGTTAAATAATAAATTAATTAAGAAATTTAAAAACTATCGATAACGATCGGTAGTAGCATTACTATTGTTGTTATTATTATTATTATTATTATTATTATAAAAGGTTTCGCACAGTGGGGCAAACATTTGCATATTCCGATTTCAGCAGACTCGGACACAGATAAACAGGAAGTACTACTAGACCAGCAAGGATGGGTTGGGTTGGGTCATAGCAGCGAACTTCATGAATCCCAATTGAATGGGTATATTACTAAACTCCTGGTTGAGGATTCCAGATTGTACCTAGTTTTAGGTCAGTCTAATGTCCCTCAAAAACAAAATGTTTTCCCTCCTCGTCCCGCACTCCACTAGATTAAATCGGGCGTATGGCCCCTGCCCGGCGACAAAATTCCGGGCCTTAACCATCGAAACTGTCATCTACGTCAGTATTATCTTTTGTTTATTTGCGCTGATCCCAATAATAAACCTAATTTTGCTCAATTAATAATATAAAACATTTTGCTGATGTGTGAATGAGATAAAAAATATAAATATAAAAATCAGTGTGAAAAGTGTTCTTATGCTTGAAACGGCAAATAATTTTATTACAGATGGTCACAGTTCGTGACAAGCATAAAAAACTCTTTCTTATGAAAATTTCACGTTGGAAAAACGTACCTTATTATACTGCTAATTTTGAATAATTCAGGAAAAATTCTCATGGCTGCGAAATCTTGCATAAGTTTAAAGTAACGCTTTCGGACAGCGGCAATATAAAATGGAAGCAAAATCAGAATAAATTCAATCTATTTTATATAACTGTTTAAAAGGATTTCCTATGGGTAAATAAAATAAATATTGGGGTGTTTTATTAGTGAAAAAGGTTGGGTAGAAAATTATATTGCGTGTCGTTAAGAAAATAAAAAAACGCATGTCAACATGATTGTGTTTTCCCAGGTTCGGCATATTTATGCGTGAATACTTTGGGTACAATAAAATGAACCATAAAAGTCCTACAAAAATTATTTAACAGTAAAGAATTAGAATATATGGCGCCAAGATAAGGTAAAAGCTTAAACCAAAAAAGGAGAAAAACAAGAGAAATATTTTAGTGGTTTTCCTGATTTATTTAATTACCCAAGTTTTATTGTGGGACAAAAACTAAGTTAGTTTTAAATGGTGGACCTCAAAAGCGTCCTTTTTATACCCTGCGAATAATCAACTTAATTAGGCCATCTATAGCCTTATTTAAACAGAAAAACCCTGACAAATTTAACAAATCTATGAACATGTCAGCTATAAATGCTCCATAAAAAACAGATTTATTTGTGGCCACAGTCAAATAACAAAATTAATATTTCAACCTTAAAATCATTTGTTTAATGGGGGTCAGATCAATAGCAAATCTATCTAGTCAGATCAATAGCAAACCCAATAAACCTTTTTGTTTTTATAGTGGTTTCCATAAATGGTATATCATCCAAATTATAAAACCTAAATTTCTTGATTTGCTTACAGAAATATTTATAACTCTTATATACCCCTTAAAAAGCTTATTTGGGGGGTTTATGAAAGTTATCAGTACCTATTTTAGTAACACTATAAAACCCAAGTTTTATAACTAGAGATAACAGGAATATTATGGAAACCACTATATAACTTCCTAAACAATTTTTTAAATATTTCTGTCTCCCTCAGGCACATTTAAAATATATATTTCTTCATAGGTACGCTATATTTCTTATTGTCATCTTATTCATTAACTTGTTTATACCATGTGAATATTTTGAATGGCGAAAATATTAATGGCATATAATTTAAGGCTAAGATTTTTTTACTCAATGCGACTGCAAATTAATTTTTATTGTAAATATGTGCGCAATACTTCGAAAAACAGCAGGGGACATCAAAATACCAAAACATAAATATTTTTTATACTATTAAAAAATATATGAAAATATTTTTTTAAATACATTAACATCTTTCTTTTGCTTACATTAAAGTAGTGCATATTTTACCTTGGTTTGGTCAATTAAGTTGTTTTTGTAATCCAATTCGATTTACATTTATTTTATGTAAAAAATAATCATGGCGGAAAGAATGTATCAACCTTGAGCCCTCTTATATTGCTCATGGTAATATTATATAACCTAAGGTACTAATAGATTTTTGATCCACTTTTCAAATATTTATGTTAATAATTTTATATTACTTATATTTTCTATGCTAAATAGTTAATTTCTGTTTAAATTACTAAACATTTTTGGTTTATTTAGCACATAAATAATTAATAACTAACAATTTTTATTTAAAAAAATTAAAGACGCAATAGTTTTAAAAAACAGGTAACCGCAAACTTTATAAAACTCCTTTATAAACCTACTGGTAACTGTTACTAAAGGTTATATAAAATTATATACCTAGAGTTTACAGTAACCTTATATGACCATTATAAAACTAGTAAACTAAACGGCAATTATATATAACCTTTATATAATTTATCTTTACCATAAGTAGTACAAATTGTTTATTGGGAATTTATCTAGCATACATTTTTTTTAAGACTTAATATTTATTAAAAATATTAAAAGCGATTTAAACTTTACATTACTTTTATTAACAAATTTTTACTTTTTATTTTTGAAACATAAAACAGATTGTCTTAAAAAATTATTAAACTCATTGTGGATTTACCGAAAAATATATATTTACACATTCATTAATTCAAGGGCGGCTAAAAGTTTTAAAAAGCTTCCGCTATGATATACAGCCTTTTAAAAAGGCTTTAGAGACTCTCCAGACACCTCTGTTTTGCAATTATAAACTTGTTCGTAATTACATATCAAGCATGCAAAATTTAATTAGTTCCGGTAGTTTTTCCCGAATAAATTCGATAAGTGGGCTAAGACGTATATGTCGTGCATTCCAGGGAGTTCAACATACCACCACCTAGTTCCAAGTTGCCTCAGCTAAATGGCATCTCTCGAAATGTTCTTACACATATGACATCTTTCCTGACATCTCTGATATTTGCTATATGAGATATATCAAAGAATATACGTTGTTTTTAGTTCAACATAATTAGATATAAGAAAATTCCCCTCACAGCTATAAATAGGAATATTTTTTACAGATACGTTTACTATTATTTTGATGGCGCGAATTCGAAGCCTCGTTTATTAAATATAAGGTACGATAACAACCCGTAAGCGTCCAAGCTTTTACTCATTGTAGCCTGACCAGATATTCCAACAAATATATCACACTATATGATAACCCATCATACTCGTACTATTCAGGCAATTTAGCAGCCATTTTTATCGCTACCCTTAATTTATGCTCCCTATATTTTTTAAAACGGCTTTTGATAACAAAACCAATCCCCCTAATAATACTTTATTTGTTCTGTATAAAATATTTTTTATCAATATTAAATTTTATTTTTATAAAAAGAGATCACCCCCGTAGTGACGCCACTGCTTTTAGTGTAAAAACTTATTTAATGCCCAACTATGGTACCTAATAAAAAAACAATAATTACCAAATTTCAATAACAGGAGAAATTATTATTTTTCCTGCTAATTAAAAAAATGGCATTCCAATAAAAAAAATACTAAATCAAATGTACAGGGTGCTCAGAAATAAGAAAAACATAACATTTCTTCCTTTATTAATTTTTTTATTAAACAATTTTATGTCGATGACAATTTAAATTGAATTAAATTAAATCAAATTAGTCTAAAACATGAAATGAAATTTATATTTAAAAAAAATATATAAATATAAAATAAAATTTTAAAGTATTTTCTTTCATTTTGTATTAAGACTTATTCATGTTTCCTAGTTTTTTTTATTTTTTTTATATAAATTTCATTTTTTAAATATGCAGGAGTTTTTTTGAGGAATTTCTTTTTTTCGTAAAACGCATATTCAAAAGTTTTCCCTGCTGCACAGTAAAAAATATTTGTTAATTTTAACCAAATATTAACCATATTTTATGTTAATTCACCCTGCCTAAACAACTTTTTAAGAAAAAACGCATAACTTGTTATTTCGTGAAAAGTTAAAATTAACCAAAATAAAATTGATTATTTTTACATCTTAATTTATTTTAATAACTAATCCATATGCTGACAGTATTTTTAACATTTATCCTTTAAAAAATAACGATTTCCAATAACAAATATTATTTGTGTGTAATAAATCTGCATTGCAGTGTATATTTAGCAACATATGGCGCTTAAATCAATAATAAAAATAATTCGAAAAAAAAATAAAATAATTTATTAGCGCAATTTGTATGTAGCATCATAAATTGAGGGACATGAGTTTACTGACAACAGTTCTACCCCCATGAAGGTTTTGTGTTCGCCAATGAATACGAATATGAAATATAGATCTAGCGACCCAAATAAATGTGCCAGATGCGAACTTATAACCTTAAAATTTATCAATTGAACACCCCTTAAATCCTATTTTTACAAAATAGATATACGATTTCGATAAATCTCTACACACATTGACTAAATTACTACATTTGGGAGTTTAATATTAAATTTTTTAATATATGTTATCCACTTGATAACTTTATTTATTTCATATGTGGATAACGCTTACTGAAATAGAAATTATTTGGTAATTAGCATGTATAGTATGTTTTTCAAGAAAATAATGTCGTTAATCCGTAGCTAAACTAAAATTGGAGTGGCATGAAGTTGGCATGAAGTTGTTCTAAAATTACTAATCACACTAATTTTGGTTAGAGCCCTGCGAGAAAACCTATTGCGCATGGGGTGCACATTGTATCAACGGACCCGATGGAAGGGCTCTCTGCCAGTGTCCCACGTTTTGCAAACAAAAGGTCGATCTTGTTTGCGGCACCGATGGAAAGACATACGCTAATCACTGTCAACTTCGCGTGGCATCCTGCAAAGCACGACTTAACACAAGAATCAGGCATGTCGGCGAGTGCGGTAAGAACACACAGATGAAAAAAAAATAGTTTAGTTATTGCTTTAACGCACGTATGCTTTATGCTTTGCATAAGATTATAGAACAAGTAAAACATTTTTATAAACATTAAATTTTCTTAGTTTCTTCAAAAAACTTTCTTGACCCACTACTAGTATTATTTAAAAGAATTTTTGTTTTTCTGCGTTCCATCAGCTTTAAAAACCGACAGACAGCTGTTTCGATCTATATTGGGTCTCATCAGTGTCGGACAACTTGGTGTAGTAGAACACACCCAAATCAAAAGACTATCTGAGCTTATATACTAATCAAGTAAGCCAACAGAGGCGAGATCTCGCTTCTGTTGGCTTACTTGAGTAGTATATAAGCTCAGGTAGTCTTTTGATTTCGGTGTGTTCTACTACACCAAGTTGTCCGACACTGATGAGACCCAATATATGTCTGTCGGTATTTGAAGTTGGTGGAACGCACTCAAATAAAAACCTTGGCTAGGTGAAGGTTCAATTCTTTTAAACATTTTTATATTGCTGTTCTATAATTTTCATAAATCTTGTTCGGGGAGTATAACAAAGTAAGTTCCAATTTATATATTAATTTATAGTAATGACTTGGGTTGCAGTGTTGCCCCAGGGTATATCTGTTTTTTTATGGCCCGGTAACATTTTATAGCTACTTTTTTAGTCCCTGCCTTCATTGCTTTTTTTACGCGTTCTGCATTTGTAATAATGGTCATTTTGGTAGTTGCTTTTTACGTTTATGCGTTTAAATTAAACAGGAAACAGGATTGAGATAAATAAATAGTTTTTAAATAAAGCTGTTTATCAAAAAATTTATAATTGAAATTAACCGAGCTCAACACATAATATTTTATAAAATTATAACATAATATGTTGTGGTTTAATAATTATAACGATATTTTGTTGTATACCAATTATATAATTGTATTATTATATATTTTTCATTGAAAATTATTGCTAGTAAAAAGGATCAATATTTATTTTAACGTTTGACCCAAAACTTAAAATATTATTCGAAAACAACAAAAAAGAATAAATTGAATGAATCGATTTGTGGCTTACAGCACTTTAAATAAAACGAATTTCACAAAGTGAAGACTTTTATACTTTTATTGTTTCGAATTTAATGAGATTAACCTTTTTTATATGCCAAAATATATTCCCTTAGTTCATAAATAAAATTCATCTTTTTGATGCGCTAAATTTAAATCCGAAATCCGTCTTGAAATTAGCGACTTTATAAAGTATACTTTCTATCGAATAGAAGGCAATAAACCAATCAGAGCAATTAATTTTGCATTATGTTTAATTAGGTTAAATTTACGTATACTTATAAAGGATGGGAAATAATAAAGCTTAGCATCCCCTGAGTGTTCAATATATTTCCAAAAGATAATGCCAAATATGTGAGTTTTCATTTCCCTGGAGACAAAACATACACTATTTCTTGACTCGAAGGTCTTTAAATGGATAGTTACTGACCAGTATGTGACCCCATAAAAATATTATCTCCTTATAAGAAAGCCTTTCTGAGTCATTTTATACCCTGTTTCCCTACATAATATATCTTCTGTCTTGCGCATTATTTTTTAATTACGAAAACGTAATTTATACTCCACCATAATCCCTTACAATGTGTGCATAAGTTAATTTAGTTTGTCTTAGGCCGCCCTTAAAATCTAATTAAAAAAATTAAGTGAATAACTATCAAACAAATTAAAATGTTAAAGAAGATGGTAATTTAAATTATAAAATGGAGTATGCTTGAATATTTACTAACCCACTTATTCAAATTGATTTTAACGAATTTACATACTAAACAACTAATATTAATTAATAAATACATCAAATTTTAAATATTTTTTCACTTAACTCCACTAAAACATTAAAAATTAATTTTTGCTTACACTTTACAAGCACTTAACTTTATTCTTCATCTCGCAATTTTTAATTCGTGAATTACGTTACTTCTGTTGATTTTGAAGTTCCCACCGCAGATATTTCTCTTGGAAGTGTTTTAGTTTACTTAAAATTATAAAAGAATAATATATTGTTTTTTTAAATATTGCATTTTGTCCTTTTTGCAATTGAAATTTGGTACTTGGAAAATATAAGCCGTGCTCTGATTGGTTTATTGCTTTCTATGGAGATAACTTTCTAAGGAAAGTAAAGACGCCAATTTTAGGAAAAATCTTCCTGATTTAGGTTTTGCTAGTTGCGAATGTAGAAGGTAAGATAAATATATATTGTATGCAAAAAGGTAAAAGTAAAGTATAATGGAAAAAGGAAAAATTATCCTGGAGACGTTAGCTGCATTTAAAGTAGCCGAGGTGAATTAGGAATCTTTTAAAGAGGCACACGATATTTAAAAGATTACAGACAAAATAACGAAAATATTTTTCTTAAACTTCAACTTTTTAAGGACAAAAGAAAAACTTTTGAGCCGGGAGAATTTTTCAACAACACACCAGATGGCTCTGAAAACTGGACATAATGCAATAATAAATCGCGACAGTGAAGGCAGATTCTCTATATAAAGTTAAAATTTTACGCTTAACTTTTGTAAGATGCAAAAGAGGCATGGTTAACCCTTAAAGGCGTCTACGAAACTTTGGAAAAAATGAATTAATGCATAAGTTTCGGACACCCAATAACTTTAAAAGTATGTGTTAATATCCCTTTTGAAATATTATACTAAACTGTGTTATGTATTAGATAAAAAATCCAATTTGTTCTCCTAAGTAAGATATATGGTCACATCTTTTAAAGGTATTTTATTTTTACACTTTTCAACACATTTGATATGAGTACATAGGCTAATCATGTGTAGCAATATCGGCTAATATTATAAATTGTTTAATTACTATAATAGTCTATTGTATTAATAATTAATTAATTGTTAATCTGATTGCTAAATAAACTATTTAAAGTATTGATTAGGGGGTATTAGCGTCCATATGGATTAATTAGGCTCTAGATACAGGGTGTTCTCAGTTAAGGGGACAATTTTAAGTTATGGAACTCTAGAAAGTTGTTTCATTAAGCAAAATGTCTACAAAAAAATTACCATTTATATAATGTACTTTTGGTTTTAACACCATTGAGTTCGAAATTATTAAAGTAATAATGTTTTTAAATTTAAAAAAAACAAGAATTTTGCAACGCGTTTATATACAGGGTGGCAATTTTAAAACGAACAGCACTTAGTATTTCTTTAACTGATGACCAGTGGCGGACTACACCGGTCGGGGGCTCGGGGCGGTAAAATACAGTGGGGCCCCTAGTCTGCTTATGAAATAATGTGATTGTTTAAATTTGTTAGTAGGTAGATCCTCTTAGCAAGTGCTTTGCAACACTCTTAATGTAATCAGGAATATGAAAATTGATAACAAGCTTTTTCCAGCGAACTTATAAGTATACTTATATTTAAACTTGTTAATAATTTAAATTTTAAAAATCAAGGGGCCCACTCATAGCCGTCTAAGATTAACCATTATTTAATGTAATTATAACTTTTTCTAATTCCTTATGAATGCAGCTAGGGGCACCCGAGACCAAAATATTAAAAATCTTTTTTAGTTTTGACTTTATATTTTGTTTTTTTTTTCATAGTACGTTATTCTTTAGAAACTTGAAATCTCCGGGGTATTTTTTTTAATCAGTTTATACTCTAAAAATGAAACAGTGGATTTTCACTGATTGACAGTGCATATTAACTATTTGCCGCAGTGATAAGTATACCACTAGCAATTAGTGAATACTCACTTTTTCATGTAGCGATTTCTTCACTGTACAAATTAGTAAAATAGGTTTACTTCAAAAAAGTTAAAATTTCACTATTTTATGTCGAGAGTTCCGAAAAAGTAGTGATAATAAAAAACACTAATTTGAAGAAGTTAAAATTTCACTAATTTATATTGAAAAACACTAATTTTACAGTGAATAATAATTCACTGACGGAAATAGTGAAAATTTCACTGTTTCACTTTTAGAGAGTATGTTATGGTAAAGCTGGGTCCTGAAATATTTATACCTATACTAGGGGTTTAAAGTGTCAAAAAAAAAACCGAAAAAATTGGGAAAAAAACCAGGCCTAAAAAAAATGTCTTTTTTGAGAAAAATTGAATTTTTCTTTGAAAAATATATACATTTGAAAAAAGTAGCAATCAACAACTTAACATTTTAAAAAAATATAACTAAACATTGAATTAAATTAAATTAAATTGATTTTAGAAAATGATATTATGATTATATTCAACGTCGGAAATTCACTTTTTTCTCGATATCAGTGTACGGATAGTACCTACATATCTGTAAAAATTTGTAATTTTTTAGAAAAATTGACTTGCATTTTTTCGTATTACTCTTTGAATAAAATGAGAAAAATGCAATTCAATTTTTCTGAAAATTTCTTTCTTTTTTTTTCGCCGGCTAAATTTTCCAGGAAATTTTAAAACCCTAAATTTTAGATAGTTTTTTGTTATACTGAGAAAGACTACTTAAGATTTGCCCCCCCTTAGTCCGCCACTGCTGATGACACTATGAAAATTTGGGGAAACACGTCAATTTACATATCAAGGGGGACAACTGTTGAGGTATTTGTTGTTCTATTACATTTAACCCCCTGACCTCCAGAGCACCTACCCCAAAAATTTTAAATTGCAACCCCTATTTATTTCACCATTTTTAAAATCCTTATAAAATTCTGGATAAGTTTCTTTTTTAATTTATTTTTACCAAAATTGAACGAATGTATGGAATGTATTAAATTTCAATCCATAAATTTAAATAATGCAAGTTTTCAAACGGTTGCGTTTACTGTGCCGTCACAGCTATTCATTTTAATATTTAGTGTGAAACTACGTTAAAATGCTTACCTTTATTTACATTGTTACAACAACAAATACCTCAACAGTTGTCCCCCTTGATATGTAAATTCGACAAATTTTTATAGTGTCTTCAGTGGTGATAGTTTTAAAATTGCCACCCTGTATGTTATGGTGGTAATTGAATGGTGTAAGATAAGGTAGAAATGGCTTATAAAATAAGACAAACGTGCATGGTCAACTTGCGACATTCTAATCTCTTGTGGTGCTTTGGTAAACTTAAAATCAATATGGCGCTTGCTCTGCTCTGTCCTGCTGTATCCCTAACGTTACCTGTGTATTGCAAGTTAGTTTGTTTTAGAAGGACTACTGCTACTTTCACAGCAGCAGCTTAGTCAAGTTTAGACCTGTGTATAGTTCGTTTAGTTCGCAAGTTGTCGCAGATCGATCGGCAAACTTCGTATGCAATCGTGCCTGAATCTGTCCAGACTTTTGTTGAAAAATAATTAAAAATAATGCTCGCTTTTTCTATTGTTTTTATGCTCCTTGCCCAACAGTCCCTACCTTGCTATATTTTCCCCAAGGGTGAGTGACGAATTTAAAATGGCCACCATGTTGAAAATGTTGTTATTTGTTTCAGAGCAAAATGATCCGTGCAGAGAGAAGCAATGTGGCTTCGGGGCGAGATGTATTGTGTCGTCTGATGGTAGAAACGCCAGTTGCGTGTGTCCGGAGAAATGTCCGAGCTACGGCGATCACACGTCTTCGCGTCCCGTCTGCGGTTCCGATGGAATTAACTATAGGAATCAGTGCGAGCTGCAAAAGTCCGCCTGCACATCGAACACGAATATAACAATAAAATTTGCCGGAAAATGCGGTAAGCGTCAATATCATCATTCTTTTTCTCCTGCTGAAGTTTCCGGAAACTTTCAACGTATTTCACTTTACCTACAAATCTCTGTACCTACTAAACTTTCAAACTTTTTATTCAATTTATACTTTATTTAAACTAGTTTTAAAATAAATACGCTGCTCTAAATCACGATAATTTATTTCTCACTTTCGGGCACAACTTTTAAATTCCGAAAATAAAAATAATTACATGAAAAACAAGCGGTATTAGTCGAGGAAATATAGCCCTTTTAAATGATCAAAAGTTTACATCAAACTTTTTATTGGGGTTTGAGATGACTTGAATTTTTTCAACTTTTTCATTTCAACTTTACAAAAGTCTAAGAATCGCATCACTGAGCAAGTGGCAATCAGATTAAGACAAAATGCCTTTTGCGCAATCTTGAACAATTATATAATTTTTTTTTAAACAAACAGCATTGAGCTTAAATTTTTTTACATATTCATCATTTTGAAAACTTTCACTGTTGTACATAAATTTTTCGGTTATAACAAATTATCAATTTATTGTTAAAATATCTGACGAAGATCAAAAGAATTTTATCGAATTAATTGAGCGTTCTAGTTAATTGTTTCATAATGGAAAGATGAAGTAAAATGCCCGATAAAAATATATTAAATAAAGTTTCAACTTTGACAAACTTTATAAGAACATCATGCTAGAGAAGTTTAAAACCCTTCTTTTCAAGTTAATTTAATAATTTTACTTAATTTCTCTTAATATATAAGCCTTTAGGAAAGAGAATTCCCAACTTAAATGATTTTAACAACTTTGCGTCCCTTTATTAGTTGTTAACTATCATTATATTGTGTCAATGAGTTTTTATGTATTTAAGAGAATTACACAATTAAAACTATAATAGGTATACATTAAAAATATTAAAACCATCAATGGCGATTAGGGTTTTAAAGTGTCGGAAAAATTGGGAAAAAAGCTGTTTTTTCGTTTGAAAAAATTGGAAAAATTGGCTTTTTCGGTTGAGTCTTTTTTGCAAAAAGGAGATCATTAAAAATATCCAATTACAATAGTATATTATGTATCAAGTTTTATAAACTCCATTTTAGTTAAGAGTTTTCTTATACACGAGCGAAGCTTGCGAGCGAGTGTTTAATAAAAACGAGTGTCTAGAGAAGTTTATAAAACGAGTTGCTTTATCTACGAGGAACACAAATAAGAATTTAAAGCCAATTTTATTTGTTAAACATTTGACATATGTCAACTGTCAACGGAATTAACCTCACTTTTTCTCAATTAATAGCCCGTGACTAAAATTACCAAAAGCCACTGTTGCTAACTTCAGCCCGTGACTAAAACGCCATAAAGTCACAGCTTATCAATGGTGGAGTAGATAAAATAATGAAGTAATAAAGTAAAAATTTGTAAATTTTCAAAAAAACTTTTGCCATTTTCCGTATTACCCTTCGAATAAAATAAAAAAATTCTAAAAATTTCCTCCGGCTAAATTTTTCCGGAAATTTTGAAACCCAAATGGCGATCGTTAATGTGGTAGTCAAAGTCAAACTTTTTCTTCTAAACCTCGGTTAATGGCAAGGATTATTTTACGAGCAAAAAATATCTTAGATGTTGTGGTTAAAGTGAAAATCCTTGGTAAGGCAAAACGGAGATCCTTTGAAATCTTTTATGACAGAAAAATCAACAATAAAATAAGAAAATTTGTGACGGTGGGCGTTTTATTTTAGATCCTTGCGCGGGAATCGAGTGCGCGGAGCCAGAAGTGTGCCAACTAGACGAACACAGGAACCCCATTTGTAAATGTGGGGACAGTTGCCCTCTCGAGTTCACCCCGGTTTGCGGCTCCGACGGAAAAACATATCCAAATGAATGTACTTTACGGCAAGAAGCTTGTCGAGCCCGGAAAACTCTTAACATTATTTACAGGGGCAAATGCAGCTCAGGTTTTTATCATTTTTATTTCCCATTCTCTTTATTAATTTCGCCCGGCCAAAAGTTCACAATCATATTTATCAGGCGCAAAGGGAAATTTCAAGAATTACAACAACAACAACAAATGTTTACCAGCACAGGTTTATATTCTCTTTTATTCTTCCAAGTTTACTTTTAATATAAACTTTGCGAATTTATCTGCGCTCGCAAAATTATCCTTATCAAGCGAAATTCCTTCAACTGTTCCTTTGAAGCGTTTAAAAATTGATTAGTTTATTACCTGACGTTCCTAAAACCCAAACAAACAATTTTCGCTCCGTTCTCCACTCTTTTTTTGCTTATACTTCCATTTTTTTTTTCATTTCGTTATGATGCAACAGCAATTTATGGTATTGATTGTCAAGATAAAGTCCCTTGACTCCACTAAAATAACGTACGCCTACCCATCAACCACTTGTTGTTCTGCTTGCTGGGGTATTTTATAAAAATGAATTAAAATTCGGGGAACATATTTTTAGTATTAGCGGATCGATTTTTCAAGTATAGTAATCCCACGATACTAAATTGCATAATAAATATGTTTCTTTTCGGGCATCATTCTTAAAATTTGCTTTACTATTTATAGAAATTTATCTCTAGAGAAAGCAATAAACCAATCAGAGCAATCAAAGCTCTGATTGCTTCATTGCTCATTGCAAATTTCAAGAAATAACTGTAGATGTATTGGCCTAGTGCTGTAGTAGTTTCCCGAATACCACGTGGGTATGGATGTTTATTTGTGTTTGAACTATTGTGATGTAGTTTTAGAATTTAGTGACTGCCAAAAAAAAATCTCTGGATGCCTTTCGTTATTTCGAGTTTCTTTCACCCAGACTCCCCGAAATGACGGGGAGTTACAGTCTGGTGGATAAAATGGTTGTGAACCTGGGGGTATGGGGGTTTAGGGATGTAGTAAAGGTAAATGGTGTGTGTTATAGGGATAAACCCATGTACGAGCGTGCGATGTAGTATGGGAGAAGAATGTGCGATAAACAAATTTGGCATAGCCCATTGCGAGTGTCCGCCGAGCTGCGAGCCAATAATGAGGCCGGTCTGTTCGAAGGATGGACGTACCTATCCGTCGGATTGCGAGCTAAAAAGGGCCGCATGTTTGGCACGGACTGCAATCGAGATCGCTTATACTGGGGTATGCGGCGAAAAAGGTCCGTGTAGCGATCACGAGTGTCATTTCGGGTCGACTTGCGTTGAACGTGGAGGTAAAGCGCTATGCGAATGTCCCGTATGCCCGTCCGAATTTCAGCCTGTATGCGGATCGGACGGAATATCCTACGGCAACGAATGCAAATTAAGAATGGAGGCCTGCAAACACAGGAGGGATATTGCCGTACTTTACGACGGTCCTTGCAGTAAGTTGTAAAAACCCACACTCCCACTTAAATGTCTTAACCCCAATTAAAATTTATCCCCACTTCAAATATACTAAATTTGTCATCTATGCTCAATTTGTGCTGACTACAACAAAAAAGTGCGAATGCTAACAATGAACATGCAGATTTTGATGTTTGGTGAGATGTCCAGAGAAGTTAAACCCCATATTCTGGACGTGATGCGTAACAGGGGTGGCACCATCACATCTAGTGTTTAACTTCTCTGGAATGAATAGAAGAAATCTTCCTGGAGTTTATGCGATTTAGTTCGGGGAGTTAAACCACATCTTCTAGAGGTAATGCATGACACCCTGTTGAAACCACATTTATGTGAACCATCCTCAGATGAGGAAGAAATCTTTCTGGAGTTATTCACCTCAGGATGGTTCATATAAGTGTGGTTTTAACAGGATGATGCTACCTGACAAACATCACGTCTAGAAGTTTCGATTTAACCCATCCAGACTAATGTTGTTGTTGAAACGAGATTTCTAAATAAGTTCATTTTGTTTGACAGATGATTCGACTGAGACAGAAGTTCAGAGGAGTTAAACCCCATCTTCTAGACGTGATGCGTGACATCCTGTTAAAACTACATTTATATGAACCATCCTTGGATGGATAAATCTTCCTGGAGTTATTAATCTCAGGATGGTTCATATAAGTGTGGTTTTAACAGGATGATGCTACAAACATCACGTCTGGAAGTTTCGATTATAGCCCTCCTATAGACTTCTTTCTTTGGTTATTTTTTTAAGTAAGGTCCATAAGAACCATGTTCAATCATAAGGGCAGCCCCTTGAAACTGAGGTTTTTGTTGAAACGAGGTGTGTAAATAAGATCATTTTGTTTTGACAGATGGTTGCGAGAATAAAAAATGCGACTTTTATTCAATTTGCGAGAGCGACGGTGCAACTGAAGGCAAATGCATATGCCCAGGAAGCTGTTTCGAAACAAAGGTAAGCTATAATTCGTAATTCCGATTAACTAATCTGCGCCGCAGATTCAGCGGTAATAAAATTTTAAGCGGATATGAAATAATCTTTAATTGTTCTAATATGTTAACTAATGACTGGGAAAACTTATATTTATCCAAATTAATTTCGTTTAAAGGATTACGCTATAAAATAATCCGTTAAGCAGGTAAACTTTCTTTGATCTATTTTCTAAAATTTTGAAATAATTTTTGCTGAACGTAAATTATTCGAGCTGCGCCCATGAAAACACATTAATTTGAAACTATAGCACTTTAATATTTTCCAATTTAGAAAACTTTATTGTTTAGTGTACGCTTTAACATTACCTTAACTTACTAGCACAGAGTGCACTCTATAGAACTGCGGAACGTCTATAATTATCTTGATTTCTGATTTTGACTACAATTTGCGCTAACTTTAATAACCTAATGTACCTCGTACAACAATTAGCCCGGCGGATTTATTATATCACTAAATCTCAATGGAATGACAGTTTTTATACACATAAATTCTGCTGAAAATAATTAAAACGAGTTTTGAAGAGTCCTTAAACGATACAACCATTCACTATACTGTTTTAGCGAACATGGAAAAAAATATTATTCGAATTAACCTATATACATTTAAAGCACGTAGAGATTTATTGAAATCGTGTATTTATATTCCACGGCTGTTCTGATATTACCGGCTACTGTATAGATGATAGTTAAATACATTTGTTCCTAGCTCAACAATGGAACTGTGTGTGGCACAGATGGAGTCACTTACGCAAACGAATGCGACCTTCGCATGGCCTCTTGCAGAACCAAGCAATATATTCTCGTTGCATACAAGGGAAATTGCGGTAAGTCATCAAAAACACAAATCTGATATAACATAAATTTATTGGATGTATTTTTATTTCTATTATTTCCTTAAACTTGTAGACTTGTTTCTTGAAATTTGCGGCTTTACGTTCCGTAGCAAATGATCTCTATAAAAAGCAGTGCAGTGTAGAAGTGCTCTGATTAGTTTATTGCTTTCTATAAAGATAATTTTCTATAGAACGTAAAGCCGCATCCAGTTTGAGAAAATGTCAGAAACACAATATGTTTTCAGGACATCTTGTTAATAAGAAACCAAATTTAAAAGTTATAACTGTATAAAAGTTTAGACGGTAGATGGTGCAAATAACTTTCGTTCACTGAGCTACCGCTGTTGTTGTATCTTAGGGCTGAAAACAGTTTAGTGTGTCCTACATAACACGGCTACCCGACACTGATGAGATCCAAAACAAAACCGAGACAGTCCAAACCTTGTAGTGCTTCGTTATGGGTGTGTTTCTCACCAGGCAGACCTGATCAGTGTCGGTTAGTTGTGTTGTGTGGAATACACGTGTATCAAACTATCGCTAGCCGCTTTAATGCAACAAGATACAACAACAGCGATGACACAGTAAACCAAAGGTTATTAGCACCATCTATGGTCTAAAGTTTGATACAGTATTAACTCTCCTGAGGCTTTTTAATTTGGTTTCTAATTAGTTATTAAAAAAGTTGAAAGGAACGTTGCAAATCCAATATCAAGTTTAAGCTTGAAGATGCAAGAAGTTGCAAATTGATAATAACTTGAGAGATAATTGTTGAAGCTTCCTATTATTTGATTGACAAATATTGAAAAATAGGGGATGAATAGATGAAAAAGCTTGATCGATAGAGTAAATATGTATTCTATGATAACGAATGTGTATATTTGTATTTATCAGCTCTAAATCAGGCAATTTTGAAATGTGTTGTTGCGTGTGCAGAAAGAGCGTAGGTAGTGAAAAATCAAACGGTTTTAGATTTGTGTCAAGGAATCGAATGTAAATATGGGGCTAGATGCGAAGCTGGCGAGTGTGTCTGCCCGACAAATTGTGAAGGAGCCGGAGAAGAGCCGGTGTGCGCTTCAAATATGGTTACGTTTAAGAGCGAGTGCGAATTGCAAAAGGCAATGTGTTTACTGCCTACGAACGCCAGACCTTTAACCGTAGTTTTTTACGGCGATTGCAGGGAACGCTTTCCCGGATCGCTTAGCAGTAAGTCATAAATTATAAATGAATTCGTTAAATATTCAAAAATCACCTCGATTTTTCATCATATACATCAATGCACCCGCAAAACAAAATTAAAGGTTCATGCTACATCACTCACCGTTAAAAAGCTTTGTAACTTTGTAACTTTAGTTTTGTCGTGCGTAGCGTACAGCTAAGAACGTAAATTAACAAACATTAACCCTTAAAGCGTCCCCGCCATCATTCACCGTTCAAACATCCTCATCGCCAAGCGGGACCGATTTCGATACTATAGGCCCAGACAATACAGTCCCAGATGGAAATGAGGCTTGCAGGGATATACACTGCGACTTTGAGGCGACTTGCGAGTTAGGCCCAGATAATTTTCCTCGATGCACTTGTCAATTTGACTGCGCTGCGGCCGCTTTCACATCTAAACCTGTCTGTGCATCAGACTTACGGATTTATCCGTCGGTGTGTGCAATGAAGATGGAGGCATGTCAAAGGCAAGAGGAATTAAGGCTGAGACCGCTAGAACTTTGTCAAGGTTTGCAACCGTTAACACCCTTCCCATTATATTAATGTATTAATTTCATGCACGGCATTCAATTATTAAAGTAACGTTTGACCCTTTTGCACATGATTTCTGAATTAATTCACTTAAGTCTCAAGTATTACTTTCAAGACATCAAAGGTTCCGACGAATATTGTTCAACATTTTCTTGCCACTCCAGCTACTTACCTCCAATCGACCTTTTAACCTTAATTTTCATATACATGCTTTTCTTCCTTTCCATTTAGAATTAGATATACCTAAAATATTCGCTTGTTGAATCAACTTAGATTTTATATAGACGCTTAATGTTACTTTAATAATAACATCGTGCACCACCACCAATGTATTCTACATAATAAATTGCCTACTAGGAATGGAAGTTAAACCATGCAAAGGCGAAAAACCTTTACTCGACTCCACCACTGGCAAAGAGCTAGACTGCGGAAACGGACCATTCAGACAGGACTGTCCATCGGGCAGCTACTGTCATCAAACCAACAAATTCTCGCGTTGTTGTAAAAAAGGTAAAAAAAAGTCATTAAGTTTACCTAAATTGGTGTTTACTTCTAAAACCTCGAATATTTTTCTGAAATAATTTATTATCCCCAAAAAATGGACAAGGTTTTAGAAGTAATCCTTCAAAATGGTGGATAAATGATTCAATATCATGATAGATGATGATCCAGGTACAATCAAAATCTTGTAGGTCATAACTTTATTGAGCAAAAAAGTTGCGAAGACAGCTGGTACGGGTGCTGTCCAGACGGTAAAAATCCTGCTCAGGGCCCGAACCACGCGGGTTGTCCCTCTCTATGCGGTTGCAATAAATTGGGTTCATATTCGGAGATTTGTGATCCAGAAACTCAGCAGTGCCGATGCAGACCGGGCGTGGGGGGATCAAAATGCGACAGATGCGAACCTGGTTTCTGGGGACTCCCTAAAATATCTTCAGGATACAGAGGATGCATACGTAAGAAGAACAGATTCTTCAGAACTACAGAATATGTGATGTGGACTTCACTTCAAAATTGTTCTTACTCCACGTCACATATTGTTTGTTGTTCAGAAAATTAATATAAATGTATTGGGGGCAAAGTATTAGGTTAAAATTTTAGCTTGCGGTTGTTCATCGTTTGGTTCTGTGAGAGACGATTGCGAGCAGATGACTGGTCGTTGCGTTTGCAAGCCGGGCGTTCAAGGACAAAAATGTACGGTGTGCACTAGTCACAATAAGATTTTGGGACCGAACGGATGCGTAGCAGGTATGAATTTGAATATTGAACGAACCGTGAAACTTATTTGATCAAATATATTTCTACAGCGGATTTGACTACAACATCTCCAAGTACGTGTAAAGAGTTAACATGTTATTTTGGAGCTACATGCACGGAAAGAAACGGTTTCGCCATTTGCGAGTGTCACACCAAATGTCCCGAAGATACCGATTCACAAGTAATACTAAATCACGCGAGCTTCGTAAAAAACAACATGACTCCCAATATTGAACTCCAGCTCGACACGTATATTACACTTTGTCTCTGAAATATTTGGGGTTATGTAGTTTTATTGGGATGGTATTGCTAAAATGTGTAATTTACAGGTTGTGTGTGGAAGTGATGGGCAGACTTATCCGTCGGCTTGCGAGTTGCGACAAGTGGCTTGCCGCTTACAAAAAGATATCGTTGTTCAGGCTTTTGGAACTTGTAAAGGTAGCATCGTCTTCATATTCGAAGAGACTCAAAATAATAATATTGAAGTGTCCTTCTAAACATATTATTGTATTTATGTAGAATCCCTTAAGCTATCTTAAGTATGTCTAAAGATGGTTTAAAAAAATAAATAAAGTGTTTAGTTCGAGACATTTCAAATAACGATTAATTTCAGAGGTAGTAAAACCGTATCTATAAACATAGTGTATTTTATAGAAGACATGTTCCCAAGCACTGATTGGCCAATTCGACGTTACACTCCACTCCAGTTCACTCAACCTGATGAGTCTAACTCTCCTCTATCAAAATCTACGAGACACTTGCTTGTCCCCGATCCTAGATATTACTATGAGAGAAGTGGCTCTATTATTCGTCCTATACATGGCGTTTCCTATCCAACTGATAATAAAGCTATTTCCGATATAAATGTTTCTGACGCTGGACCCAATATCATTTACAATACACGTGGTGAGACTGAGTTTCTATAATATACAATACATAACAACACATCACACAATAATCTTTTTACAATTATTTAACAATGTAGCTTGTATTTATCCGAAATAAAAATTAATTTAATCAAAATTTACTCATTTATTTAAATAAAAAGTAAATAACGAACTAAAATAAAACATAACAAATAATTAATTGCCACTAACGCACTAAAAACCTCGTTATTTGCTGTTTGCGAATGGTGATTCATTAATTTTTATAATAGGCAACTTCGCATCGGAATACAGACCAACCCCAGCAACCGTAAGGGTAGTAACGGCATTGTTAGGAGATCTTTGTTCAGATATATCTGACTGTATCATCTCGAACAGTCACTGTGTTAAAGGAGCTTGCACATGTCTCCCCGATCATTTAGAATCATCCGATAGGCAGGACTGCATAGGTAGGAATAAAGAGAGGACAGCGAGGTGTTTCTTGTAATATGCCACTTTACTTGATCTCTGTATAAGGCAATATACCAATCAGAGCAAGAAATCTGCTCTAAACCACATATTTTAAGAAACACCCCACCCTCCAGATGGAGTAACAGCGCTTCATCTACTCACGTCTAGAAAAAGACGGTCACAAGCTTTGGACATGCGCATTGATGAAGTAAGGAGGGACTTATCGCAGCATCTCAGTCCATTGTTGTCATATTCTTAATAAAATTGAAACAGAGAAAATTTTTAAAAAATATTTTGGTATCGGAAATCAAACCCGAGCTTCCTGCGTTGGCCACTAGACCATACGGGTTAAAATTTAAATAAAGCAAAGAATATGTGGCAACACTGGATTGAGATGCACAATTAGCCCCTCCCACAATGACTCCATAACTTTCTGATCTGAGTCTGTGACCGTCCTTCCCTAGACGAAAGTTTCTTTATCTTCCTACAATTTGGTTTTAAGCCTTAAAGTGTAAAATTATTTTAGCAAATCCCGTAGCAACTGATGAGTACAGGACCTGTGCGTCCGCCCCTTGTCATCATTTCAGTACTTGCATCGACCTGCCCGGCTCGACCTTTACATGCGTATGTCATGGTAATTTTACCGGGACCCTATGCGACTCGGAGATTGTTTTAAAGCAATACGAAATTCCGGCCTTTCATGGCAGATCCTACGTTAAACTTAAACCTCTGAAAGCCTACCACAAACTGAGCGTGGAAGTCGAATTCAAATCTCATTCATACGACGGAATAATATTGTACAATCAACAAAAATTCGACGGACTAGGCGACTTTATATCACTAGCTCTGATAAATGGATTCGTCGAGTTCAAGTACAATTTGGGTAACGGGCCTGTTGTAATCAGGTCGCTCGACAAAATACAGCTCGGTAATTTTCACAAAGTTATTCTTAAACGTTACCACAAAGATGGCATTCTAAAATTAGACGACGCTGAGGAAATTGCAGGACAAGCTTTAGGGTCCTTGAAAGCTCTTGATCTTTTAGAGGACACCTATATCGGCTATATTCCCACCAACCATACACGGTATGTTAACCTCGACGAACCTATGATCCCACTCTAAATGCATTATTTTAACAAAGCTTATAAGATTTTACGGTAAGTATGCTGGTCAACAAGTTTAATTAGTTCATAATAATATTTTAACTTTAAGCGTTCTATTAATTTAAACTTTATTATCGGCAACTCTCACCACTAAAGAAATTGATTATTGCCTAGACTGTAAAAATTATTTAGACCAATCGAATCTGTAAAAAAACAAATCAATTCATTTTTATTAAGAAGTACTTTTTTCATAAATAAAGAAAATAATATATAAACAAAAATTTAGTAGACAACACCCTGAATAAATGCCTTGTATATTTTAATAATAAAAAATGTGTGTGTGTGTGTTTTTGTAAATTTTTAATTTTCTTTTCTATAGAAAATGATCTCTATAGAAAGCAATAAACCAATCAGAGTGCGACATTCTTCACAGCACACTAGGTTCTATAGAAATCAAAGTCGCATATTTCAACAAAAAATAGACTACGAAGTATTAAAAGTTTGTTACCCAGTGCATAAATCTTTTCTTTGATCAAATAATGACCCAATTAAAGGTTAAAATTTGGTTAAAATTATAATTTCATTATTTATTGAAGAATATTAAGTAAATTTTCCTGTAATTTAATAAACGCTTGGTTATGTTTTAATAACCTTAATTTTTATTTATTCATTGGCTGAAGAATTTAAGAAAATCAATAGAGTAGCCGTCTTTCTGTCTAAACTTGCTTATTAAAAATTAAGTTGTTCGTTGTAGTGAACTTTGGTAATTTAATTAAACTAGTAACGGAAAAAAATTAAGTTTGTAGATTATTTAATATACATAATTTTGTAATTATGTATGAAATTAATGGATTTGTTAAAATCATGCATTTATCGACTATCAACAAATTAGTCGATTATGGCCGAAAGATTAATTTTAATAATTTTCAGTGTTTTTGATAACATTGGAACGAATAGAGGCTTTAAGGGATGCATTAGGAAACTGAAAATAGGACGACAAGATATTGAATTACACATGAACCGTCACGATTGGGTTTTGAAAACAAAAAATGTACACGATTGTAGTCAGCACGCTTGCAGTATCTCCCCTTGCCTGAATAATGGAAAATGTCTGAAGTCAGATGAGTTATATCTCTGCGAGTGCGTGGACAACTTCAGCGGCGAATTTTGCGAAAAAAACAATGATCCCTGTTTTTGCAATCCTTGTCTACACGGCGGCACATGCCGTATCAAAAATCAATTGTTCTACTGCGAGTGTCCTGCCCAAAAAACCGGCCTTATCTGCGAACTAGGTAAGTTCCTCTCCTTCATTAATAAGCTTTATTCAGTCAATTATATTCCGTCAAGTATCTCACGAACCCTGTATAAAACTAAAGTGCCCTCTTGCAATTGTAAGATCCCTCTCTTTATACGAATTAAAGAACAATAGACAACAGACAGAAATGTTGGGGTTTCTAGAGCATTTGAACGTTGCTTAAGCCTTTTGTTTCCTCGGCCAAGGAAACAATATTTATCTATTTTTTCTTTAGTTCTTAGCTTCATGTTAATTACTCGCCTTTGTTTGTGGAAAAGAGTGGGCATTTTTTAAATCCCGTTAATCCCGGCGCATTCGCCATTTTTGCAACTTTTTTTAAATATTTTTTGTTATAATTTGTTCAAAAAAGTTTTTGGTTTAAGTCCATTTTTAATCAATTTTTAGTCTTTAATTCCGTGCAATATACAGAGAAGACAGAGTTTCACTGCGCGCAGAATTGTGCTCAGGACTTTAGCCTTTGATTTGAATTTTAAAACACTCCCCACCAAGAGTAAGGTTATAGCTAGTTTTAATGTTTTAAAGGTCCTTTAAGCATTATACCTGGTGCCCATAAAACTAATATTCCGAAAAAAATATTTCTGAAGTAAACCCTAATTTAACTAGGCTAAATAGGAAAAAAATAAAACCAAATATTCCAGTGACTAGGCTTTCCTAAAACTTTAAACCATTACGCCCAATGACAACGACATACAGAGTGTCCCAAAAGTCAACGATATCCTTTGGAGGACTGATAGACCAACTCATGACTAAGCAGAAAATCAAAATATGACCTTAGTAAAAAATCGTTAGTTTTGTAAAACTTGAGACCTTAGATAAGTTTTTCAAGTGCCACAGCTACAAAATCTACAATTCAATTAATTTTGAATTGTAATTAATAGCAGTCCTATTCAGGGTTACGCAAAATAAAAAATAGAATGTTGTTGTTGTGGCACTCGAAAAACTGATTTTATGTGTCAAGTTTCACAAAATTCATAAAAATGCCAATATCTTTAAAACTAATAATTTTTTACTAAGGACATGTTTTGATATTCTGATTAGTTATGAGCTGACCTATTAGTCCTTCAAAGGATATCGTTGACTTTTGGGACACCCTGTATATATACAAGTTGTTTTTTGGATCTTGGTGATTTTTTCGTGTAAAAATAAAGTTATAAAATGTTTAGTATTGTCTAAATGCGGTGGGTTTTTTATCGCATATGGGATGGGTGAAAGTCGCGTGTCAAAGTGAAACGAGAAAAATAAAGGATAAAATTAGACTATAGTAAAAATAAAATGACTTTTGTTGCAGATTCGCAAAATAAAGATGTGGAAATACTTTCGCCGGAATTCAATGGATCCAGTTTTATCCGGTTTCCACGTTTAGAGGGCATTAAGAAAACATTTTCAATTGAAATTTTCTTCCTGCCCAAAGCAGCTAATGGCCTAATAGTGTACAACGGTCAAATGAAAAATGGTCGGGGCGATTTTATTTCGCTGAATTTGGCTCGTGGTCACCTGCAATTCAGATTTAACCTGGGCAGCGGCGTTGCGAATTTAACGTAAGCATTTAACGCTCTTTTATTTTCGCTTTGTCCTGTTTTATTTATTCCGTGCAGTTGGGCTTTTAAAACAATTCTGCTGTAAATGTTGAATTGTTAAAATGTATGTATTTTAGGAGTCAGGAACAAGTAACTATTGGAAAATGGCATTGGGCCCGTATATCTAGAGATGGTAGGGAAGGAATTTTGCAATTGGATAATTCTAGCATAGTTCGCGGTTACTCCGGCACACCGCTTACTGAACTTAATCTCGATTTGCCATTCTACATCGGGTCCTTGGCGTAAATATCATAAACGCATCGAACAACACATACTCAATTAAATTGTTCATTTCAGATCGTGGGGGCACTTGCATCGGCTGTCGGGCGCCTCTAAGGGATTTAGAGGGGCCATCCAGCGGGTTTTAATAAACGGCATACAACTTCCGATATCTGGAAGACTGGACGAATGCTCCGGAAACAACACGGGATGCTCGAAAAATGTCGCTTTCTACGATGGATTACCCTGTCCGCTCAACAATAATCCTTGTAAGAACAACGGACTATGTATACCAGATTTAAGCGAGTTTACTTGCAAGTGCTTGTCGAATTTTAAAGGAAAATACTGTGAAACTCGTAAGTATTATTGATCGCATATTTCGGTATGGCGGCATATTTTGCATAACTCACTTACTCACTTAAAAGGGGGAAATTTCATTTTATCTTGATTACGACGTTAATGAAAAGTTTGATGAGCACGCACTATCAATATCCCTTTGATTTAACCCTCTGGAATAACTATGCTAGAACGATAATGAAATGTCAAGCATCCAGAATTGAATTCTTAAATGTTTCAGAGCACGAAGATACCATCGCACTCAAGTTCATCGGGACGACTTATTTGCAGTACAGAAACAGGGGATACAAAAGGTAACTATTTTACATTTTTCATTTATTTTCCCTTATAACAAACTAACCCCACTAACAGTGATAACTCCACGGTCTTTGATGACTTTACTAACAATGAGGATGATGAATCCGATGACGATATTAACACTAACAATACCTACGATGATTATAACGACATCGAAAATGATGAGTATGATGATGACTTATACATTAACGAAATCGATAAGTGAGTACCTAACAAACTTTTTAATAAAACTCAACAAAAACTTATCTTCAATAAAAAATTTTTAGAAGAAAACCGGAAAGAGGAAATAGATACGAAATCAAACTAAAAACATTTACTTCAGATGGTCTCGTTCTCTGGAGGGCCAAAAATAAAAACCTCCTTGAAGATTACTTTTCAGTGTCCATAGTTGATGGTTATGCCGAGCTCAGTTTCAATCTTGGGAAATCTGAAGAATTTTGGTCCTTAAGGTAACAATAGTCCCGTTTTACCTTACCCTTCTCTAAAAAATTAACAAACCATTTATTTTAGATCAAAAACTAAAGTCGATGATGGGGAATGGCACACAATCCAAGTAAGAAGGCGAAAACGAATTGGTTTTATATCGATTGACGGGGAACCCCCTGCCAAAGGTATCGCCAAATCCGGTGCCATAGCTCTTCGTACCAACTCCAAACTATGGATTGGTAAGTTAAATAAAAACAAAAAAGTCTGATAAAAAAAATATTCTTTTTCTAGGTGGTACATCTTCTTTGCCTACAGGGTTACCATCCTCATACTACAAGGGATTTGAGGGGTGTATTCAATATGTCATTGTAAACAGGAATCCGTTAGATATGCTAGCAAGCAATGACTTAAATAAAATTCATTTTTGCCATGATAATGAAATTTAAACTAATATCATAACAATGTCATATTGATGAAAAAACCTGTGAGACTGATACCATACTCCTAAATTTTCCAATTATATAGCTTCGATAAACCAAACTTATATTGGGGTGTTATTCACTATATCCATTCTATTATATTAGTTTTTGTATAATGTATTATATTGTTTGTCAGGACACCCTGTATATATAATGTTGTATATAGATGTAAAAAGCTATGCGTCTAAACTTGGGAGTAAAACAAAATAAAACAATAATAGAAGTATTAAGTATTCTTACAAATATTATATATCTAGTCTTATATTAATTTTTTATTGGACTATTAGTTACGCTTAATACTGGAATTCGAATTCGAAAATATGCTCAAAACTAGTTTTTAGCCACGAATATTTAACCATTACAAAATACAATATTCCGTGTAATCCTGAGTAAGTCAATATGACATTATTTAGAGGTGTTGCAAAATTGATTTACTTTTTTATTTGTTTTTGAATTTTTTTCAAAAATTCCCAGAACCTACGAATTTTTTGCGAAGTTGCCAAATTTCCAGGATCTGGGAACATCAGCCTTTTTTCCCTTAAAACTACAGCTAGTGTAATATAAATTGGGTTTTATCAATTTCTAAGCACAATTAAGCGCTGAATTGTGCTCAGACCAAATATATATTATACAGGGTGTTTCAAAAAACATGCGCCAACGCTCGGCTGGAGATTCCTTATCCAAAAATAAGAAGAAAAAGTCATATAAACGTGGGTCCGAAAATGCTTAGTTTTTAAGATACAGGGTGTTAAATATTTTTTTTTTAAACGGCTTTTTTAAAATATCTTAAATATCCTTTGGCCGATTCTGTTGAAATTTGGCAACGTTATTTATAGTAATAAGTAGCTAATTTTTCTTTAACTACGTTAAAATTTTCAAGTCCAGTGGCGTCCCGGGGGGCACCTTAAGAAATATTATTAAGAAAAAAAATGTGCGCCAATGATTTTTTTGCAGGTTTTATACATTTTTTAGATTAAGCCACTAAAAATACAACTTTTTTGTCTCTTCAGTATTTTTCGTATCTTACCTCGTTTTCGAAAGAAAAAATAAAAACCACATTATTACATGAAAATTGACAAAACTCATATTTTATACTTTTTGCCATGTTTGATCTTTTAAAAAATGATTCCAACTACCTAAACAAAAACTGCCTTTTGTAATTTTTTGTTAAATCAAGCTGTTTTTTTATGAACATTTATTTTTGAACCCTTAAATAGACAATTAACTTACTTCTAAAATATTAACTAAAGATAATGATGAAAATGACCACCACCAGCTTCATTGCAGGCACGTAGCCTACGACGTAAGGACTTTCGTACTCTGTTACAAACATGGCGATTTTCTTTAATTGTTTGAAATCCTTCGTGTATTCGTTGCATTAGGTAGTTCATCTCTTGTAAGAACAGGCGTTTTATACACAATTTCCTTTAGATGACCCCAAAAATAAAAATCCAAAGGATTTAAATCGGGTGAACGAGGTGGCCAACGAACAGGACCTCCTCGTCCAATCCAACGAACACCGTATGTTTCATTGAGATAAGCTCGAACATCGGCTGCAAAATGTGGCGGCGCCCCATCATGCTGGAACCACATGCGGCCTCTTACATGCAATGGGATCAATTCCGGCAAATCGTTGGCGATAAAATTTAAATAGGATTCATGGTTAAGCCTATTAGGTAAAACAACTGGCCCAATTATTTCATTATCAATAATGCCGGCCCATATGTGGTTGGAAAATTGGTATTGTGAATTGGCTATTCTTAATAAATTTGGATTCTCGTCAGCCCAAGTATGTAAATTGTGAAAATTTATTATTCATTTTCTGGTGAATGAAGCTTCATCTGTGAATAGTACATTTCGGGAAAAATTTCTATGGTGCCTTCTTCCTTAGAAACCATTGGGAAAATTCTTGCCTGGGAATAAAATCCCTAGGCAACAACTCTTGGACTTTTGTAAAGTGGTAAGGCTTCAATTGTTGCTCCTGTAGGGTCCTTAACACAGAGGACGCTGATATTCCTAACTCATTTGCAACAATTCTTGTACTTGTAGTTGGGTCATTTTGAACACTATTTAAAATAGCTTCTTCAACTTGAACGGTACGCCGGTATCTTCTACGTCCAGAATTAAATTTGGCTGGTTTTAGAGAACCAGTTTGCCTTAAGCGAGAAAGTAAATTTTCAAATGTATTCTTATGCGGAATTCGTGCTTGAGGAAATTTTCTATGATAAATTCTTACTGCTTCGTGTGCATTTTGCCTCGCTTCACCATAAACTAAGAGCATATCGGACAATTGATGTAAAGAATAATTTATAAAAGGCATTTTTACACAACTAACAAATTCACTTTAACTACAAAAGTATCTCTACTTGAAAGCAATAATATCAAATTTATTTAATTTTCAATCTGTCAATCTTTTACTTATTCCAAAGCCCACTTATTTATTCCTCAAACATAATAGTGTAAAATATGCGTTTTGTCAATTTTCATGTAATAATATGGTTTTTATTTTTTCTTTCGAAAACGAGGTAAGATACGAAAAATACTCAAGAGACAAAAAAGTTGTATTTTTAGTGGCTTAATCTAAAAAATGTATAAAACCTGCAAAAAAATCAGTGGCGCACATTTTTTTTCTTAATAATATTTCTTAAGGTGCCCCCCGGGACGCCACTGGACTTGAAAATTTTAACATAGTTAAAGAAAAATTAGCTACTTATTACTATAAATAACGTTGCCAAATTTGAAAAGAATCGGCCAAAGGATATTTAAGATATTTTAAAAAAGCCGTTTAAAAAAAAAATATTTAACACCCTGTATCTTAAAAACTAAGCATTTTCGGACCCACGTTTATATGACTTTTTCTTCTTATTTTTGAATAAAGAATCTCCAGCCGAGCGTTGGCGCATGTTTTTTGAAACACCCTGTATAATAGGTATATTGTATTTTGTAAGTAAAATTTCGGGTTTAGAAAATATTCGTTGCTCAATACTATTTTTTGAGTTTTCGAATTAGGATATTGAGCGTAACATTTGAGAGACAAGAATATGCATAAAACTCTTTTATCAAAAACAGTTTTATTGCGATATTGACAAATATCAGGTGCCATATCACGAAATTGCCCATTTAGGCCATATATTAAATTTCAATTTATGTAGTTTTTAGTTCAACCCTATTTATTTTTTTTTGTTTCTATCCTCAATTATGTGTAATATACCACGTCATATAGCCAAACCTTCAATTGTATAAAAATGTACTGTAGAAAAGACGTGATCCTTCCAAAAAAAATTGCAATCATATCGAAAAAGCCATATGTTAGTAAATCGCTATGTTACTATGTCTTGGATACATATCCATAAAATAATTAAATTAAATTTAAATTTCGAGAAAAGTTTAAAAAAATAATTGTTCAAGATGCTTAAATGTTATGTAAATAGCTTAAAACATAGATTTATTTTAGGCCATGTTAATTTTTAGATATATAATAAAATAGGTCGACTAGATGAATTAACCATAATGTAATTTAGTATTATTTTAACTCATAGACTTCTGTAAAATAATGCTGCAAAATATATTTTTTTCCTACTAAAGTTTGTAGTGTTTTACCCTGTTTACGCAAACTACTACATCCTGTAAAAATAACGAATATGCAAAGTAGGTTTTAAACGAATCATAATCTTTTGCAGATAATTTAAAACAAGTTTTTTGAAAAATAATCAATAATCATAATAAAAATTAAATTTGTTGAAATATTTTTCAATGTTGTAGACTCTAATTGAATTCACGATCTAGTTTCTTTCCTGGAAATCCATTTTGTCCCTCACTAATATTTACAACTCTTTCATAGAGCAATGCGTATACCACGATGAACAAAACCCGAATCTTCCGCATAAAGAAATTTGGGTTTTACAAGTTAAAATAGAATACAATGACAAAATGTGCGCCATCTATCCTTAAAGGCAAATATTAGTTTCTAGAGCTCTAAAGATTTCTCTTTCTGAAACTTGCTAGGTTTTATATCATTGTATGGTAGATGTAGACTGGGTATTTAATAAAACAAAAATATATACATATTACATTAAATGTAATTGACTATTAGTACATTTATTAATGACAAATTGTGTGTCTGTATCATAAGACAAATTTATTTTAATTTAAAATCTAGTATAAAAATAATATACATATATTAAATTAGCAGTCTTTTTTGTAATATTAGTATCTAAAACATTTAGAAAAACAATTTTTGGCATAATTCACAAACTTCGAGTAAATACTAAAAGTTGTTCGTTACGATTTTTATGCTTGGACCATTTCTGTGGGTTAACTGCATACTGCCGGTGTCTAAAAAAATTTTTTTGATGTTAAAGGTTTTATTAAATAAAAAATTATTACCTGCAGAACCATGTGGTGAACGCTTAGCCCTGTTTATTCCCGACTCTATCGCATTTATAGGGACCCTGTATAAGTGAGCCCTGTACCTCGGTATGGTGAATGTGTACAGTATAGGGTTCAGGGCTGAGTTTATAGGCAGTATGAAAACTATTAACCAGCCATATACATCAGCTAAAATATGGCGTGTTTTATAAGTACATAATACCAATGTTATCAAATATTATATTACCAGAAATTTCGTGGCCTAGATAGGCACAAGCTTTTGTGATGATGATTGGGAGCCAACAAATTGTGTCTGTTAGGACGATAAAGAAAAATCTTATGGCGATATCAAAGTCTTTTATTGGGATTGTAGTGGCATTTCTTGTTTTCCATATACTGACAAACATCCCGACGTAGACGATGGCTGTTATAATTAGACTGAAAAATAGTTTTATTTTCTCAAGAAAGTCATATTATCATTTAAATTGCAATTGCAACTTTTGCATTCAGAATAAGTCCACAGTACGTGCATAATATTAGAATAAGCGGCCAAGATACGGTTAATCCATATATATTGGATAATAATAATCCAATATATATCGATTAACTATAGTTACAATGCACTTGGACAATTTATGATTTTGTTTTTCCCCAACATCAAATCTAATAATACCTGAATGCATTAATGCCGATGAATATAATTGCCGAAAACTCCCATCCTATAAAATACGGATCATCGATAAACAAAGGAAAACATAAACCATTCACCCCGTAAAACCTCGTACTAGAATAAAACTCCAATGCTAAAATTATATCATATTAAAACATCAAATTTGCGTCTTTTCTGTCTATAGAAAATGATCTCCATAGAAAGCAATAAACCAATCTAGGTGCAGTGTAGAAGTGCTCTGATTAGTTTATTGCTTTCTATAGAGATTATTTTTTATAGAAGGCAATAAAGAAAATACTTGGTATGATGGCTATGCTGATCCCAAAGCCCCATATCAGTATCAGTACCAGCGTGGTCTCCTTTACAGACAAAGACCCATATCGCCCAAATGGTATGGCGATAAGCAAAAACCTATCAATCGACATAAACAGTAGTAAAAGCACTGACACCTCACTAGAAATCATCCCCATCATTCCTGTTAGGGTACAACCCCATGATTTAATCCAATTATACGCCTCTGTGTTATAGTTGTCTCTATATTTGACATCGTGTATCGCTATCATCAGTAGGTATAAACCCATGAAAAAATCACTAACGGCCAAATTTCTTATGACTAGGCTCAACGATTTATTTTCATCCCTAAAAATATATCTACCCGATAGTACCATAAGGTTAGTTACACATGTACAAATGCATATGGCCCATGTCGAATATCTTAAAATTGGTTTGTACAGAAGTTGGTTTTGTGATGATATACCATCAGATAATGGTCGACATCTTGGCACGTTGGGTGCGTAGGAGCAATAGGAGTATTTTTTAAAGTAAACTGACTCTAAATTTTGCAGGGTTTGGAACATGTTTATATCTATGTTGTATATCTCTATACCTTCCATGTTTCTAAAATATTTATATATTTATTTATTTATTTTTTAAGTTAAAAATTCTTACAATGACTTAAGATTCTCCATGTTTGTAAATACTTGCTTTGCAATATACTTGAACGGATTGTTACCTATGTATCTAAAATAATTTTTTTTAACAAATAAAATAATTTTAGATATACTTACAATTTGCTGACCAATTTAAAGCTACTAAAAACTGTTGGTTCGAGCCGTACTATCCGATTTTCATAAAGGTTTAATTCTCTTAAATTTACCAATTTCGTAAAAGCCTTTTCGTGAATGCTTACAATGTAATTCCCTCTCAAGGATCTGTAAAAATTGCATTACCTTTTGGTTTAATGTACATATGTAAAAAAAACATACAAAAGGTGCAAATTTTCTAGATTACCCAGCAATTCTTTACCGATTGTTTTCATTTCATTATAGTTTAGGAACCTAGAACATATACTTAATTAAATAATATTTTATATCATATATCATACATCATGTCATATATCATATATCATATATCATATATCATATATCATATATCATATATCATATATCATATATCATATATCATATATCATATATCATATATCATATATCATATATCATATATCATATATCATATATCATATATCATATATCATATATCATATATCATATATCATATATCATAAAATTAATAGTGTAATACTAACAATTCTTTGAGATTTGACATTGGAGGAAACTTTTCGTTCTCCAACGTAAGCTTATTTGATGAAATTTCGCTAAAATTTTTAATATTATTTTAAGATTATACTTATGGTAGGTAATACATACAGCCACATAATTAATTTTAAGTGTGCAAAATCCTGGAGGTAAATTTTTTCAATGTTGTTATTGTCAAGGAACAGCCAGGATAATTTAGGTAAGCCGGAAAATACCCCTTTACTGATTACTGTTAAGTTATTATTATTTATAAATCTAAAAGAAAAATTAAATATTTTTCGATAATTAAAAAAATACCTACAGTCTTGTAAGATTGACTTGCCCCTTAAAAATATTTGGGGGTAGGTGTTGTAAACCATTTCCTTCCAAGTGTCTACGAAATAATAATGTTTTATGTAAGAAACAATGGAGGCAGATGAGAATGCGGAGGTTTAGGATGGGAAAAATTGTTTTTGAATTAACATCCAGTTAATGATAGAAAAACTTAAGAATCAAGCAACCATGGGGTTCCATATTACCATTAACATATCCAACTTACATCATATCCAACCTATAATTTTTGAATGAATCTACTTTCAAGTTGTGTATACTATTATTGGCTAAAATCCTAAAACAATATCAGTCTGTATAGTAGATCACCCTGTATAGTAAAAACTTACAATCGTGTAACTTCCTTTGATATGTTTTGTGGTATTTTTTGTAGACCCACATCTTTGCAATAGAGGATTGTTTGATATTTGCAAACGCAGTAATCGGGGTACATTTTTAATTCTGAAAGTTTTTGTTTTAATAAATTTTATAATTTATTTATTTTTATGATTGTTTACCGCATTTATCAAATATTGAATTAATATAATCCTTTCTCTCTTTGCTTATGTTCCAATTTGTTTCGATCATTTTCACACTTCCGTATAGATCCGCTGGTATAAGTAAAATGTATTTATTTATCAATAAAAAATTGTAAACTTTTTATACAATCAAACAAAAAATCGTGACATTTACATTATTGTTTGATTTATTATTATTGATTTGCTCTAATTATTGGAAACACGTTTTTATATTTGCTCGATTTTTGTAGTAATTTACTTGTTTGGTTAAATTAAACAAAAGTGAGTCATACCACAAAAATCTTCGTCCTCATCATCGTCGTGGGGACAATCGGGGATCCCATTGCACACATTTTTTTGTGGAACGCAGGTATCACCACTCGAACATGTGAACGTGCTTGAATGGCAGGATCCTTAAAGCAAATAAACCATTTATTTACCAAATTTATCGATAAACTTTTTCCTTTCCTTATTTAGTATACTTATATACTAACTTAGATACTAAAATTTTAATGTTATATACAGTGGTCATAAAATTTATTACTTCTTGCCAGATAATAGATAATCCAGAACTGTTTTTCACCATCAACTTTTATATTAGCTTTTATAATGGAATATAAATATATTTAGAAGTTATATCTTGACGTTTTTATAATGAAGGGGAAATATTATTGACTTCAAATTCACCCTGTATAATCCTGAACCATTTTTTACAGTGTAACATTTTGAAATAGATCGTTGCGATTTTGTAAATTCTACACTTCTGTTATTGTTTTATATTTATGCATAACCATGATACATATTTAAATTTTGAATAAATATTCATGTCAAAAATATTGTTGAAACAAGCAATATTTCCCATCAAGAAAAATCATTTAAGGAATAAATAATAATGCACATATAACCTAATACTCATTGAACAAAAATTTGAATGTTAAGTTAAATGAAACGCAAATTAATAATACAAATTTTTACTTTTGTTGTGTCTAGTGTTATTTTATATGCCATTGTTCTAATAACAGCTCGTAAATAATAATTAATAATTACAAGACGAATCCTAGGGGACTTAGAAGATACATTTTTTGACGTATGGATACCACGAATATTTAGATACACCTTTAAAACATTGCTCTACGTTTTATTGTTGTACAACATAATTTATAATCTTGTTGAGTCAAATAATTGTATTTTTATTCGTTTATCCTAAATAAATCGTTCAGTTACACAAACTCAGAATTCCATTCCCTGTGTAAATTAACCAAAATAATTAGTTTTGACCGTATGAAGAGTAAGGCGAACCGGGAAATGCACCTATTAAATTTCACCCACATTAATTAAGAACAAATTTAACTCAATCATAGAGAAAATACGATTCTTAGCTAACTCCAATTAATTATTCAAATTAAATAATAAAATATAAACAATTTGATGCCAAAACTAAAATAGATTGAAATTAAATAACTAGCTTTTGGTCCAAGGCTTCAAGCATCATTTGCGTTTGCTGTGCTAAATTAATCTTATTTTATATCAGTTAATTGCAAAAAAAAATATTTTACACATGTGACTAAATTAATAATTTACTGTTAAAAGTGTCGAATTATTTCCCTCTCTTAAAAACGCTGCTATGATGCGTCAGCTGTTACACCAACAATGAAAATACGGCATTTCAGGGTAGAAACACTTTATTCCCTATAAAATAAGGCCGTATAACGTTTAGGGGAAGTCAGTAATAAAGTTATCTCTTCAACCATATTAACTTGGATTTTTCTTTTGTTCACTCAAGGTTACATTGTATATAGTTTTTTTCGCGCCTGTAAACATTTACTGTTACATTTATTACTAATACCATCAAATTTAAGGACATTCTAAATAAACTGTTTAAACAGAATAGGTTGAAAATATTTAGATCATAGTTAGAATTTTGAGATAGTTGAGGATAATCAAGCCCTAAAATGACGTATACTTTTGTTATAGTGATAAAAATTTAATATTGCAAAATGCTTTCAAGGAATATTAAGAATATTATTCTTATATAACAATACTCATGGTGGATGCACTGTAATAAAATAATAATTTATGGTTATTTATAGTGAATAAACTTGGTAATAAAATAAAATTTTAATTAAAATAAACGTTTAACAATGGTCTTACTGCACAGTGATCTTTAAGTTTTAAGGTTAATTTATATATATATATATATATATATATATTCTGTCAAAAAGTTCAGTCGATGATGTTAAGGTGTTTCTTAAAATTTTCGTATTTTTTTATATATAAAATGATCTCCATGGAAAGCAACAAACCAATAAGAACACGGCATTTTGCATAGCACACTAGGTGCCTTGCTCTGATTGGTTTTTTGCTTTCTATAGAGATAATTTTCTATAGAAAGTAAAGGCGCAAATTTTAAGAAAAACCTCTTGATATGAAAAAAATTGTGTAGAGTCACTGTAATGTTTGTAGTTAAACTCTCTTAAATTATTTAAACCTAATACCTATTGCAAAACCTCAGAGAAGGACTCTAATCAATTTACGACCAGGCAATTCCGATGCATTGCATCAAGAGGGCGGTTTTATGGTTAAAATAAGTGTGTTGCAAGTTGCAGTCTAAAAATAGTTTTCCTCATAATGCATAAACGATCATTAAATCATTTCAATAAAAATGTTAATTTGTTTGTTTGACTTTAGTTTTATTTTTACACTGCAGTGTGAAATGGTATATTATTTATAAAGTTTAATAAACGGCATTTTAGTCACAATTTTTTGTTAAGCACGAGCGAAGCTTGCGAGCGAGTGTTAATAAAATGGGTGTTTTTTTGTCTATTTTCTGGTATAAAAATGATGTATTACTAATTAGTTTAAACATTTGTATAAACCGGCATCTTTAAAAAAGAACCCATTTTAAAGGTGAGAGTAGAAAAAAGTAGTTTTTATTTTTATTTTTTACTTAACATTGCAAAATAAATTTCTTAATTTTCCTAAGCAATAAAGTGACAATTTTATATTGTTTTGCCAAAATTTTGGTGTTACTATATAGCAAGTTATGTTGTATCAAAATCAAAACTAAATTGTGCAAATAACAAATATTGCATTTTCTAAAAGTTAATGAATCTATTTAAATAAATATATATTAAAAAATAATAATTTAATAACATAAAACATATAACAAAATTTAAAATGATTTGCACGTAGAACAATATTTTATTTCTAAAATTAAGTAATAAACTTACCCTTTTTATTAAGGAAAAAAACGAGCAAAGAAACACCAATGAGAACAAATATAATACAAACACCAACTAAAATAAATCTTCTGGAATACATGCTCGATGACAACTTTTGGGCCTGGAAAGAACTTTTTTACTTGATTAGTTTCTGGTAAAAGTTTCAGTAGCATTGGACCAAATATTGTTATACAAGGTTATATATTTTTCGCGAACTACTCTACAACGCAAACTCAAATCAGCACGTTTTAATCGAAGCTTTGGTTTCAAGCTACAGGTGATTGAAAAGTTTCGGGACAATAACATTTCCATTTTAATTTTCATCCATTTGGGTATGGCACATAAATATGCTTTACAACTCCCTAAATTATGTTTATAGGGGTAATTTAACCCTTTTATTTTGGCCGGTGATTAATAAGTCAATCTTCATTAATTGTGGTAGACCTGAGCTTTTACTTTATTAACCATTGTGGAGATCCCACACCCTGGTAGTGCTAAATTTAGTTCTGATTTCTTTGTGTTCCTTTCATGTTACTCCTACCCAAACTCTATTTTTGTATTATAGCAAAGAATTTAATATATTTCTCACAATATAAAAAATATAGTTAAAACGAATGATACAGGATGTCTGAAAGGTAGAAATTAAAAATACAATAATAAAGAAAATTCAGCTCTTAGGTAATAATTTTTTTAATCCAATACAAAATTATTAAAATATTGTTGAAAGGATGGAATAGCGGTTATACAACAATTTTTTTTTATCTAGCCAGATTAAAGTGAAATTTTGCTGGACAAAAAACAATATAGCGTGAATTATCGATTAAATTTAATGAAAAACCAACAATTTAAATCTTAAGTAGTTCTATTCTGTGGCTGAAATGTAAGTGACACTAAAAAAATAGCTTTAACGCGATTGGTTATAGTTTTCACTATTTCTTACTTGAATTAAATATTTGGTTTGCCCCCTTCCAAAGTGTTTAATCTATAAATTCTATACAAATATTATAATTTTGTCAGTTGGTTTAAATTACTTTTCTCTGGTATTTTATTTAGGTAGGTGATGTGATAAAGTGTTAAGTGAATTGTAACAAAAATGCAAAAAAGTCGAAAGTATAGTTTCTCTTTTTTTAGGCGTTCAGTATGAAGAAAGTGATTATAATCCTAACCCTTATAAGTAAGTACAATAACAATTTTCTGAAAAGTGGATATTTTTGTATTATTGTTGTGGCATAAAAATATCTAAATTTATCAAAATTTCTTAGTAAAATCTAGATGCCAAGAATACGAGGACGTGAGTGTGCTGGCCAATTACGATGAAGAATTCGGGTCTCTAAAAGATGACGTTCACTTTGAGCAGGGTCAAGGGCAAAAGCCGCCAAACCAAGACAGCATGCGTGGCCTTAGTGCTGGCAGTGGTCTAAGAAGCATCGCTGAAGGTTCATCGAATGCAGCAAGCGACGCAGTCAATAATCAAGACGCTGCTGGTTTCCAAGCCGCCTACGTTGCTAAGAACACTCTCGCACAATCGGCTGCTGGTGTAAGGAACTGTTTCCCTTATTTAAGTTTTTACAAAAATGGCGAATGCGCCGGGATCAATACATATTAACCCTTTCGCTTATGGCGTGCTAAATTTAGTACGTCGTTTTCTACAATTTTTTATATCTACTTTATTGAATTTTTATCTATTTTTTCACGTTTTCATGTCCTAATTTTAGCACACCTTATAAAAAAAAACTAGCAGAGAAAAAAAAATTTTTTGGTACCAAAAAATAGCAAATAATTATTTTGTTTTATGTGTCATAAATAATTCGTGAGCGAAAGGGTTAATTAATTTTTACAATTAGCCTTGCCAACGTCTCCAATTTGTATTTCAAACGCTTAATTAAACTCCAGAGGTAAAATTTTCATCCTATTCGTAAAAAATAATTTTCTAGACTATCAATATTTTTAAATCGCTGTTTACATTTCAAATCGTTAAAACTAACAATGTTTGTTTTGTCCAATATTAAAAAAATCAACGCGTTTTCTGTCTATATAAATACACCCAGTTTCTGCAAAAATAAATATCCTTCTTTGTGTATTCTTCTATTTTTTTTTATTTGAAGAGCTGCAAGGTCGGTTCAAAGAAATAGTAAATATTTAAAATGGTGTAAAATCTGTATAATTTGGATTTTATAAATGAAATTTGAAATTTGATGATAAACTATGGTAAATAATAAATTGCACCAATTAAATTTATATTATATTTTTTGGGGGCGCCATGGGCCGAACAAAATGTTATCTTTTTTCGCAAACTTCAATTTAAATTGTGCTTGCGCAGAACTTGTTTATTTAATGTCATTATAAACTCATATAAATTTGGTGTTTGTCCCATATCTAATAATAGATATCGGTATACCCAAAACCCACCAGCCGCCACTGCTACACTCTGAGAAAATATATTGTAATACCTAACAATATATATTTTTTATGCAAAATATGATTCATATAATTATAACTTATGGTTATAATAACAATATACAAAAAATTAGTTTTGTAATCATTTTGTTATAAAAATTTAGTAAAGTTAGATATTTAAAAAGGCCATTACAACCATCATGTACGGCTGCTACTGTTAGTACTACACTAGATGATTAAAATTGTAAGATTATCTGGTTACAATAACAATATTATGTTGTCACACATTATTAACAATATGTCGTTGTAGTTTTTACTATACAGAAAGTTTATAGTTTATAGAGGGTTTATAAAGTACTTGCATATGATTATTATAACTAAATAAATTATTGTTTTGGGCAACAACAAAAATATAGTTAAAGTGACAATAAAACTGTTACAATATAAACATGGTTAACATAACAGTATATATGACTGTGCCTATACTAATCAGAATATTCGATTAAGATAACCATTGTTTTTCCCAGTGTAAAATCCCATTTCTAATAATTGTTTAATTGGAAAAAGCCAGCGATCCTTAAAATGTTTAACATACACATTAATCTACGTTTTCATCCAATTTCATCCCTACTATGTTTTGAGTTACCAACCCTCTTTTGTTCTTATAATGGCCGCCATAACTTATGTAGTTTGATAAACCGTTGGATTCCTTAATTTTTTTCTATCTAACCATGTAAAATTCCAATATGGCGACCATAGTAAAAACAAATGATGGTGGTGGTATCTTAAAATCTAGTAGGCAAAAAAAACTTGGATAAAATGTGTATTTGTTTAGATGTTAAACTGCAATTATTGTTTTGCGTATAAAAAATAAACGTACTGTATTTTTAGGCATCTGCAACAGCCCAGGCGGCTTTGGCGGGCAAGCAAATTCTGCTGCAAGGACTCGAGCAACAATTCCGTGATGCGCAGCAGGCCCTGATGGGGGAAAGAGCGCAACTGATGCAAGCGCAACGTTCTGCCGATTCTTCTCTGCGTGCTGCGCAAGAGGCGCGTGCGCACGTCAACGTACTGACCAACACGCTGAACGCAGCCCAGGCTGCGGCCGATCACGTGACCCAGGCAGCTTCAGAGGCAGCTGGAGAGTTGGCTGCGCAGCAGTCCATGGTAGGTTCCGCCATGCAGAGGCTTGAAGCTTTGGGTAAACAATTGGCCGGCGTTCGGATTGATTTCGAAGCTACGAGGGCTGCAGCTATGAGGGCTCAGAATGCCGCACAGGCGGCAGCGGCCAACGCGGCCGCTGCTGCAGCTACGGCGGCAGCTGAGTTGGGTAGGGCTGCGAAGGCTACACCTCCTCCCCCACCGCCTCCTCCACCGCCAGCTGCAAAACCCTCTAAGGTTCCAGCTGCTGCGCCTGGTAAAGGTGTGGCAGCTACAGGAGGTAAGGGGAAAGGAAAAAAGGCTGCTTTCATTGAAGATGAGTTTTATAACTCCAATTATTACACGGAGTAAATAAACCGTTTGTTATTTTTTTTTAAGTTGTTGAGTTTAATAAAAAATTGAAAACTATTTGGGTTATTTTTTTAGGTGCTGCAATAAGCATTGGTTCTGCTTTAGTGAGCACTTTAAAGGACATCCTAGGTTATTTCGGCTTACCAACTACCTGATTTTTAATAAAACTTTTTATACTCTTTGGACTTTTCTTCCCTTAAGCCTAAAAAACAAAATAGGTTTTTTAAATGAGAACCGATTTTTATTAAATAAATTACTTTATTCATCTACCAACAATACAATAGTATATTAAAGAAACGTATTAAAAAAATCTATATTTGGTAAAATGCTTATGCCAAATTGCATAATAGTACCGTACATAAAATAAAATAAAAGTATATGTAGAGCACCTTTCGCGTAAAACTACCCTTAAATAGTAAGACTTAGATTTTAAACTTGAGCTTAATAAGGAGGCATTCAATGAATAACACATATTTTTCATTATTTATTTATAAGTAATTGTTATAAATATCGAACTTTCCCATAGTCATTTTCAAGGTTGTTTTAGATATTCAATATTTATAAATTAATTCGCAATAATTGTTTGTTTTAGCACTTTAATAGGCTATTATGAAGATTAACCAATAAGATGATTTTTTAGGAGGGATAAATTATTTATATTTATAAAAATGACCTTTAGCTATTTCGAAACCTATAAGTAATTCCTAATTAAGTGTTTTTAGATGTAATTAATAAAACAGTATTGATTTTTATTATGAATTATTAGAATATTTTATTAGTTTTATTTGCATATTGCACATTAACTTCAATGACAAAGCCTTTGAACAAACAAATTTCCTCTATTCTGTTCCATTTTTTAGTAATAATAGTATTTATTTTAGCAAAACAAATAAGAATCGGCACGCACAGCGTAAGTAAATTCGATTGCATAAATGAAATTATCCTGTTGTAAAATATTTCCATAAAAATCAGAAAACTTTCACAAAAAGTGCATTCTATAAACTCGTTAATAAATATGAAAAAGTATGGCACCGTCTGAATAGACCTCCTTATAAATATTAATATAAATAACAAATTGCTAAAACTTTAATATAATCAGTCTTTATCCTTCGACTTCGAGGGTGCCGAGTCCTTTTTGTAGGCCGAAAAAAATGTCAACGCCTTCATTAGTTGATAACTCTTCGAAATGGGAATATTCGAATCGTACAGTTTTTTAGAATTTTTGCAATCAACGTAGAACCACCAGTTGCACTTCAAAATCGTTTGATCGAAGAGAGTCGATTCTGGGCAAAGAAAACTCTTCATTATCAACCCATCATCGGTGAGCGCGCAAACATGGAAAACCTGCAAGTTTATTATAATTTATTGCAATTAAAAGTTTTAAACATAATATATTATTATAACAAGACTTAACCAATATATATGTATGACCTACATTTTATACGAAAGGAATGTGTAACATACTTGATTTTTTTGCGCAAATTACAACAAAATCAAATTTAATGCCGAGATGTTTTAAAAGAAAGTTTATTTTTAACCAAATTATTCAAATTCAAGTAACACAGACAAGGTCAATATTAAAGATCTAAAAGTAATGATAATGTTATGAGCAGGGGTGTTAATTAACTTTAATCACCCTTTAAGATTAATTTTAATTGGTCCCACCCTTTTGGGTCATCAAAGTATTAAGATAACTACATAAACATTATATTTTAAAATTAACGGTTTTATTGTTGATTATATTAAATAAAATCTATGCCAAGGTAGTCGCGGATATTTCTTGTTGTACCTAATGTTTTCATCACACTAAATTTGGTTTCAAATAATCAAATATTAATAGAAATGTGAAAGTATCGACAGTATCATCACTATGACAGTGTCCCCAAAACCTGACATTGCAATTAAACAAAATATGTAGAAAGCTTACCAAACCCAAACAAAAAACATTTTTGTGGCGGCCATAATGTTTTTAACAAATCATGATATTTTTTTTTAAATAACATTATTAGTTTTTTAGATATTTTGACATGGATTTTTCGCAAAGAAGTCTTGTAACAGTTGGACAAAAAAACTGGAGAAAACACACGAACATTATTGAGTTGTAAACGCTATTGTAGCAAATTCCAAGTCAAAATATCCATCAAACAAAAAACATTGCTATTGTAGCAAATTCCAAGTCAAAATATCCATCAAACATAATAGACCTACCATGCATCCCAAATCTTCATCACCATAGAGTCCAGGAAAGTGCTTCTGATCCCCGCAGTAAAACGACGTTTCCGGCAACTCAACCCTCGAGGCAAAATTATCATCGAAATTCTTATCATAACCCACGGGATAATATTCCTTGGGTGCGTTCATAACTTTACCAACACTATTTGCGTATTTTGAGGTTACAGGTCGATGAGTTGTGGAAGTTGTAGTGCCGGCTTTAATCTTGGCTAGCATCGCTTGTCGTTGTATTAGAGCTTGCTCCAAAGCGTCCTCGGTTACGTTGTTGGCGGCTAGGAGAGCTTGTATGGAGTTGGAGCTTGTTTGGGGTAGAGGTGGAGGTAATTCGTTGTTTGGAGTTGGAAGTGTACGTAGAGCAAAGTTGGTGCTGCTCATTTTGTCTTGAGCTTGGATTTTAGACTTAGGGACAGCCACAACAGCCATTATATTACTACTTGTACTACTACTACTACTACTAATAGAGCTAGATTTGGGTTTAGTGGAACCTACGGAAAAACGAGATATAGATTGAGGCATAGCGTTAAAGTGTGGGACAGCAATACCCATTATAGTAGGTGTAGGTAAAGAAGTCTTAGATATAGACGGTCTTTCAGGTGCTGGAGGGATTGGTTTAAATGGAGGAACTGTTGCTGCAGATATTGATTTTTTACCCGATGATATCTGCTGTCCAGGAACTGGTACGGCTTCTATTGAAGCGACAGGTGTTGGCGATCTTACTACTATAGTGTTGGCCTGAAATTTAGCTTGCTTACAACATATATTTAAAATGGTTTAGCAACAATATAAACCTTGTAACTGTAAAATTATCAATTTGTTAAACACATCTTACTATAAAAACACTTAATAAAACAATTATTTAACAATATAATTGAAGAAAGGATAATAATGGCTATTGACACATAACATGCATATCATATTACGAATATTGGGATACCTATTGGTACATAATGAACTTTAATTTTTTTTATTCAATGTTATCCCTATGAATGGTAAAAGGTTTTCAAAGGCCTTGAAAGTATTCACCCACGTAAATGCCATTTATAGGTATACCATATTCGATCGTCGATACAAATAAATATATTATACAATTATCCTTTTCTTAATCGGGATTATAAAAAAAGACTTACTGCTTTTCCTTTGTGCAAAGCTTCTTGTTGGGCTTGCACCAATTGGGCTTGCAACTGAGACCCAGCCACTGATCTTCTTCTGTTTGTTTCTACATTTGATAGTGATTCTTTAAAGCCCAATTCATCCCCCACGCTAAAGCCTACAAAATTGTTTCATTGTAAAACAAATATATGCATGTAATTAATATTATTTATAAGCTATGTAATTATATTAATAAAATAGATTGTTAGTGAAGGTTTTTTTATATTTCTTGATAAATATTTTTACATTCTCTTGATCGCCTTCATATGAAACATGGGAGTTATTGCAAAATAGATCTATTTATTGACATTGACGCAGGTCATAGTGCAAAACTAAGTATTTTCCTAAATTTAATTTGGCCAAGGTTAATGAAAATATAATATTATTCAAATTGGTAATAATTTGTAAGCTAATCAGAACATGTTACATTGAGGCATTTGCATTTTTTTTTAATTATTATTTAAATTCTTTTTGAATATTTAGCAAACACATATAAAATGCACCTGTACATACAAGTTACTATGACTCAATGTCAACAACAAGTTTACACAAAAAAGAAGACTTAATTATTGCAACAAAGAAATGAAAGTTTAGAAATTAACATTAGTACTACTACATTACAATACAAATAAATGTACAGTTTGTTAATTCATCTAAAAGATACTGCGCATCTAAGTGATGCGCAAACAACCGAAATTTAATGATAGATTAACATGCTGGGATGTTAATATATTATTAAGTTTAGGTCTATACTGTGGATGATGCATATGTTTTGAAAAGCATATCCGGTGAAAGTGCATTTTATTTTTATGAGGAAAAAACCGCACATACTTTTCATATACCTACGCAACGTTTTCGGGGTCTTTACTAATGACTGATGATTAAATCTACTTTCTACATTACATGCAAATTTTCAATGAACAAATGAAAATAAAAAAAGATGAAAAAAGCAAAGAATAGGAGGATTACCAAGGCCAATGTGAGCTTTCACACCCCCCAGATTTCTAACTCGAAACAGGCTCGATTTCTTAAAAGCGCAATTCAGGATAAATCCGAAATCTGACTCCAACACACATGTCGGTTGGCCTAACCGCCACGTGCCGCCTGGAAGAAAAATTGACATGTTATCTAATAAAACAACAATTATTTATAAAGGGTATTTCAACAATTCAAGACTTTACTTCTACTTCAATAGAAAATTATCTCTATAGAAAGCAAAAAACCAATCAGAGCACAGCACCTAGTGTGCTGTGCAAAATACGGCATTCTAATTGGTTTATTGCTTTCTATAGCGATCATTTTCTATATTTGAAAACTGTTTTATTTAACTCAAAGTTCTTGTTGGTGCACCCTTTCATGCCTTTATAAAGACAGCAATGTTAATTGGAAGACAGAATATTAATAACCACAAACTATATCTATATACACTAAATACAGTTAGTCTCAATTTAGGATCTTGTGGAACCCCAATAATATAAAAATGTTAAATATTTTAAAGATTTTGTGCAAGGTGTCCCACAAGGAATAAAAATAAATTTCTCCACCAATAAGATCGCAGTATTTCGAGCATGCTCTATCGGACGAGACGCTGACACATACGAGATATCCATTTAACAAACTGTTATATGGCAAAAAAGATTAAATTTGGTGAATGTTGTCGCAAGCGCTGAGTCAAATAGAGCAGAAACACTGAGCTCTCATAGGCGGCCTTAAAAATGTAATAACTCCTGCAATTTTGCGAATTCAAAGAAATGGTAATGGTAATTTAAAAAAAAATAGTTACCCTTTGGGCCGCCCTATATAGACTATTAACAACTAATGCACTAATGTTTAAATTTTAGAAATTCGCATTAATATGCAATTTAGACATTTTTGAATGCCTAAATAATAGTTTTATTTGCATTTTAAAGCGTCCTTGTAATTAACCAACTGGGTTAGCAAAATACCCTAAAATTAAGTTTTCTATTCTTAAAAACGTATAATTAGAACTTTAGATTGTGCAGTCTCATACATACCGTATAATATTAATAAAAAAGGCATGATTTTAGAAGGGAGTATTTGCTTTGAGATATTGATATTATTTTAGTGATATAATAAATATAATAATTCTTCCGTATATTTATAAGATATAAATTATACTAAATTATTTATACCTTAATTTTAATTACTGACCCACTTCTTATAATACGCGGTTTCCTGTGGTATATTTACAATCTTTAACTATTTAAGTTATTTTATTTTTTATAAAAGTTTTTTTGTAATGTTTTAACTCAAGTTAATAAAATTAAAAAAACCTTTTTATTATCAAAATTTTCCTGCAAAAATCAAAATAATTGGGTCTTTATTTTTTCAATTAGAATAATTAAATTGAGTAATTATGGATAATTCTATACCTATTAAAAAACGCCAATATAAAAAAAATTACCAAGGCAACTTTTTAAACCAAATTTATTTAAATATTGCACTATTTCTAAAAATTAAAACAAGAAATTTATTTTTTTGGTGTAGGGTTTAAATTTTGAGTCAGCCTACTAACCTACATATAAACAAAATAACCGGTGTCTTCTTGAATTATTAATGTGGACACAAGTGAAAACATCAAACAAAATTGAGATATTTGATTAAAGTGAATAATAACAAATAATAATTGTCAGTCTCATCATCTGGTTATTTAAACAAAAACAATATTATTTATAATTAATTTAAAAATACATAAGTTAAAGACAATGGTTTCATGTAAAGTGTATATACATAAGTGAAGCGTAGCGATTAAAAATTTAAAATAATAGGTACTTCACTTCAATGGAAAGTAGTTTGAAAGTATTTCTCGTTCTCAAAAAAATTTCTACGAGATTTTTTTTGTCAAAAATAACACTGAAACTCACCAATAACCGTAATAAATATTATAAAACTAGTAAACTTCATAGTCACTGAATAAAACACTCAACACCACAAGGAGGTATCCAAAATAAAAAAAAATAAAACTAACTTCTCGTCATGAAAATTACGAGCGAGTAGAGGCGCGCTTCCCGGTCAGATAGTACCAAACGCATACGACCAGCACCCGTTAAGAACAAGACTGGCTGCTCAGCATGACCCAGTCTTTCTTAGACTAAACAAGTAACGGTACCATTGGTCAAGCGAATACTTGATTTTGTTTTAATCGTTTCTATGCATTAACGCACTTAAAGGATACTTAGGTACTCTGACCTCAAACGCAAGCTTTATATCATTATTTTTTTCTCCAACCATGGTTTCATTTAATTTTGTGAAAGAATAGAACCTATATTATGTATCATACTTCATCTACGACGAACACAAAGTAGAATTTAAAGCCAATTTTATTTGTTAAACATTTGGCATTTGTCAAATGTTAAATTTGCATATTAAACTTTTTCTACGACTAACACTGATTTAAATTCAATATTTGTACAGAGCGACATCTATGAAACGATAGAATTACCAACTTGAAAATGTGTTTATTTCAAATGTCAAATTTGTTTCTGTACCTAAATCAAAATGTATCTCTTGAAAATAAACCGTTTAATCGGATATAGAAAGAGTGTTTTACAGTGAAAGTAAAGAAAATGTTTTATTGGCTCTCCAAAGTGGAGCCTTTACCCGAAATAAAGTTACTGCCGGCAAAATTAAAAGGTCAGTAAAATGTTTATATCAACTTTTCAAATATTGGCGCTGAGAAACCATTTAATCCTTTTGTATTTTTGTATTGAGATAATAAAATAAATGTTACATTTAATATTATTGTTGAAACTCGATTGTTTTTAATTCAACGAGAACATCCTTTATATCATTGATAATCTAATTGTTAGTTTTTTTTACTTTGATTGATGTATAATTTATTTTAAAAAGAATAAAGTTCAGTTCATTATTATATTACTAAAGAAACGATCCCATCTGTGTTTATTTAAGTTGATCTGTAATAGGTTATGGGCCCAGCGTACTTTCATCAAGAAATTTTTTTAATTGGAGTAAAGGTACTCAATTAAAATCGATTAAAGGCTGAAGGAAAAATTTATATATAACCAAACCAGTAACAATGTCTAATGTATCGCATACAAATATCGATAGACTGAACAAGAATAATTATGACACGTGGAAAGTGCAAATAGAGACTATATTGATAAAAAATGAATTATGGGAACTTGCAAATGGTACTTCAGCAAAGCCTGCAACTGAGGTTGAGATCTCAAATTGGGAAAGAAAAGATGGTAAAGCACGAGCCGATATCATATTAAGCATGAGTTCGAGTGAACTATGTCACATCAAATATTGCAAAACCGCCAGAGAAGTTTGGAAAAAGTTGGAAGAGGTTTACCAATCCAAAGGTCCTGCAAGAAAGGCAACTCTCTTGAAGTATTTAATATTTACAAAGATGTCGAATGATACAAATATGATAGATCATCTAAACGATTTTTTACGTGTGTTGATAAGTTGAAAGAAATGGATATTCCGGTGGCAGATGACTTATTGTCAATCCTATTACTCTACAGTATTCCTGTCTCTTACGAAAATTTTAGAATTGCTATAGAGTCGAGAGATAGTCTACCTACTCCAGATGCATTAAAAGTTAAAATATTGGAAGAAGCTGCTGCTCGAAAAAATCAAATGGAACCTAAAGAACGACAAGAAGCTCTACAAGCACGAGGGCCGAATAGAGAAAGGAAAGATAAAAGATTTGGGTATAAATCAAAATAAATCCTACCAAAGTAAACCCAAATATAATCAATACAGTAATAAAAGATCAGAAAATAAAAATGAAAATGACAATACTATAGAATGTTTCTATTGTCATAAAAAGGGTCATAAAGCTAACTATTGTCTAAAAAGGAAAGCTGATGTGCAAAGGGCTCAGTTAGCCCAGCAGGGAGAAGAATTTTCTGAAGTTGAAGAGGTGTTGTGCGCGTTTACTGCAAATCAATTAAACGACGAATTTGGAGAACCGGCAGTTGACCAATACACAAAAAATCAAGTTAATTGGTGTTTGGACAGCGGTGCTACGTCACACATATGTGTTGTGATAAAGGAATTTTTGAATTTATTACTCCTATTTATCACCGAGTGGTAAAGTTGGCGGATGATAACTCAGTAACTGTGAAAGGCGAAGGTAAGTACTGTAATTTTGAATGTTAATTTGAAAAATAAAAACAAGAAGTTACGACTTGAGATCACCTTGTACATTCCTGATTTGAAAAATAACCTAATTTCCGTTTCAAAAATAACCTCAAAAGGCAAAAGAGTTGTATTTCAAAATGTTCCAAAAAGCTCTGAGCCGAAGAAATTAAAGATATTAGAGTTAATCCATTCAGATTTATGCGGTCCCATAAGAAATAAATCGATTGGTGGTGCCAGTTATTATGCAACTTTTATTGATGATAGATCCAGATGGGTACAAGAATATTTTCTAAAGTCTAAGGATGAAGTGAAGAATGCGTTTTTAAGATTTAAGGCACGGTTTGGAGTATCTAGGAAAAGATTTTAGTGATAAATTAGAAAAATATGGTATACGCAGGGAATTCACTACTCCACACACTCCACATCAGAACGGTGTAGCTGAAAGAATGAATAGGACCCTAGTGGAGATGGCTCGCTGCCTCTTAATTCAATCAAAATTATCTACACGTTTTTGGGCTGAAGCCATTAATACTGCTTGTTATATTAGAAATAGGTGTCCAACAGTCCAGAAAGTCCAGAAATATATGAGAGGATGACACTAATAATCATGAAGATAATCTTGAAGAGACCGAAAATCAAAATGAAGATATAGTCGATGAAAATATCACGATTGAAGATAAAGATAGTAAGATGAGAAAAATCCCGAATGTGAAGATGACAACACGAAAACAATGATTAAGAGGGGGCGAGGAAGGCCCAGCGTAGTTAAAACAGGCCAGAGAGGGAGGCCTAAGAAAATTTACAAAACTAAAGAAAACGAATTAGTGCAAATGATAGAAGAAAATTCTAATAATTTCATTGACGAAGCATTATCTGGTCCTTACGCTAAGGAATGGAAAATCGCCATGAAAAAGGAGTATGATGCTTTAATCGAAAATGGTGTATGGGATTTAGTCAAACATCCAGAAGAAAAAAAACGTTATTGGGTCAAGATGGGTATTGAAGACTAAGTACAATGCTGACGGTACAATAGAGCGAAGAAAAGCTAGATTAGTAGCTCGTGGATTCGCTCAAAGACCAGGAATTGAATTTAATGAAACCTATGCCCCTGTAGCCCGTCTAACCTCAATCAGAATAGTTATTGCCACAGCAGCAAAAGAAAAGTTGACATTGTATTAATTAGATATAACCATGGCCTACACCTATGGTGATTTAAGCAAGAAATCTATATGGAGCAAGCCGACCAATTTGTTGTTCCTGGAAAAAAAGACTATGTTTATCGTTTAAAGAAATCTTTGTATGGACTTAAGCAGTCAGGCAGACAATGGTTTCAAAAACTAAATAATAAACTAAATGAGATTGGGCTTAAACAAATTGAATCAGATCCTTGTGTATACAAAATCATTGAAGAAAAAAAGATTCTTATTATTGTTGTTTATGTAGATGATCTGATAATTGCTACCAATAATAACGAGATGCTGTTGTATGTGAAAGAAAAACTGAAAAACAAATTTAAAATGAGAGACTTGGGGATTTTGAGGTAGCTATTGCTTGGGGATTCAATTTTTTCAAGATAAAGACACTAAGGAAGTCTTCATGAGCCAACACAATATATATCAGACATGGTGGAAAAGTTCGCATTAAAAGATGCAAAAATTGCACTTACACCACTTGAACCCAAAATAAAACTAATCAAAGATGATGATTCTCCTAAGATGGACCCTACGTTATACCAATCGTTAATTGGTTCTTTAATGTATACGGCAATAGCTACTAGACCAGACATAATGTATGCAGTCAGTGCCTTAAGCTGTTTTAACAGTTTTCCGACAAAAACTCATTGGTTATCAGCGAAAAGAGTACATCAAATTTATGTATACATTTTAAAGAATCTCACAAATCATTGCACGGATACGTTGATTCTGACGGGAGGAGATATTGACACTCGAATATCTCGTACCGGTTTTCTTTTCAAATTATCAAATGGTGCTATATCCTGAAAAACAAAGTGTATCTATATCAAGTACAGAAGCTGAATATGTAGCACTGGCTGAGTCAACAAGAGAAGCAGTGTATTTACGCCACCTATATTAAGCGAGTTAGAGCAAATAAATTTAAGTGAAGCTACCACAATTTTCTGCGACAATCAAAGTGCTTCCAAGCTGGTTGTAAATCACGTTTATCATAATAGATCCAGGCACATAGACATACGTTACCATTATACTCGGCAAGCTTACCAAGAAGGTAAAATCGTCGTAAAATATTTATCAACATGTGATATGCCTGCTGACCTCCTAACAAAGAGTTTGTGTAAACCAAGCCATGATAAACATGTTTCAAACATGGGTTTAAAAGTCCAGATGATTCCCGTTGAGAGGGGGTGTTGAAACTCGATTGTTTTTAATTCAACGAGAACATCCTTTATATCATTGTTAATCTAATTGTTAGTTTTTTTGACTTTGATTGGTGTATAATTTATTTTAAAAAGAATAAAGTACAGTTCATTAGAAATCCTTATATTACTAAAGAAACGATCCCATCTGTGTTTATTTAAGTTGATCTGTAATAATTATTTTACAAGAAGGGCACTTTATTTTAACGATTGTATGACAATTGAGGACTGTCAACTAACTCGAGTTGGATCCAGCCCGTGACTAAAACGCCATAAAGCCACAACTTGTCAATGTGTATTTAAAAAGGCACTTAGTGTCATGGAAACATGTACTATAATGGACGTTTTAAAGGTGGGTGTTAAATTATTCTTCAGGGGTCATTCCATAAGCCAATTTATGTTAAAGGATAGGTTATTCCAGTGGCGGCTAGTGGATTTTATGTATACCAATATATCAGTTATTAGACATGGGACCCACACCAAATTTATAATAGTTTATAATGACATTAAATAAACAAGTTCGGCGCAAACAGAATTTAAATTGAAGTTTGCACAAAAAAGTTAGTTTTTCATGTCGCCTCACCCGCCTCCAGGCCCCCCTATTTCAGATAATTCAAATTAAAGTGGTGCAATTTATTATCGACAAATTTAAATTTTTTAAAAAAGAATCCAAATAATACAGATTTTATTCGATTTTAAATTTTTATTATTTATTGTATTAAAATAAAAAAAATATATAAAATGGTATAAAACCTGTAATATTTGGATTTTTTAAATAAAATTTAAAATTTGTCAATAAATTATAATATATATATTATAGTCATTATAAACTGTTATAAATTTGGTGTGGGTCCCATGTCTAATAACTGAAATATTGGTATACCCAAAATCCACCAGCCGCCACTGGGTTATTCCATACCATATCGTCAAATTGTGTTTTCGATTATTTTTTTTTCCATAATGTATATTATTATTGAATAGTTTTTTATGTTAAATTTAATGAAGATTATAATATAGGATATATTTTTATTTTAACTGACAGTAAAATATGTCTATTTGCAAAAGTTATTGATTAAATACAATATCATCCATTAAACGTTGTATTTACCTGTACAACTCGTAAATCATTTTAAAAACGCTTTTACGTGTGCATGCATTTAAATTAAAATATCGCCGTTAAATATGTTGCACATACTTCCACACAGTATGTGATATGTTGAACTTACCTAATGCGCTGTCTAGTGAAGAATAGATCAAACTTTAGATATAAAAGAAGTAAACTACACCAAGTTGGCCATTTCACAAAAACTTTAAAAGATGTTTCACGCAGTGTTGCCAGATATTTTAGTCGAGGCGCCAATTTTTGAGTGAGATATCGCCTAAAAGCGCCAACAAAATTGCAATCAGCGCCAACGTTAGATTGGTAAAATTAAAATGAAATTCTTGTAAGGGTTAATTCAAAAAATGCATTAATAGTATATTATGTATCAAGTTTAATAAACGCTATTTTATACACGAATTTAATTTAGGCACGAGCGAGCTTGCGAGCGAGTGCTTAAATTAATGAGTGTATAGAAAAGTTTAAAAACGAGGTGCATACTATACTTTTTCTACGACAAATACTTATTATTATCTTAAAATGATTTAAATCAAAAATTTGTATAGAGCGCCAAATCTATGAAACAACAGGGGAAACTGTCAAATGTCACATTTTTACATGGAATGGAAATTTATCTTGAAAATTGACAGTCTTTCACAGTGAAAGTAAAGGAAATGTTTTATGAGGACTTTACAGTAGAGTCCGTGCTCGAATTTAAGTTATAGTTTACTGCCGGCGAAATTAAAAGGTCAGTACAATGTTCATATAAACTTTTCAAATATTGGCGTTGAGAAACTATTTAATATTTTTGTATTTTTGTATTGAGATAATAAAATAATTTTCAAATTTAGTGTTATTTTACAAGAAAGGCACTTTAATTTAACGATTGTATGACATTTGACAACTGTCAAATAACTTAAAACTAACTTCAGCCCGTGACTAAAAACCGGTTGCTAACTTCAGCCCGTGACTAAAGCGCCGTAAAGCCACAACTTGTCAATGTGTATTTAAAAGGTCACAAGGGTGTTTTAAAGGTGGGAGTAGAAAAAAAAATACTTAAACACACATTATTTATGAAATATACAAAAATAGGTAACTAAAAAGGTACTAAAAAAAAACATTTTAGGTTAAAAAAACAGCATTTTAGGTAAAAAAAAAACATTAAAAGTTCAAGTTTCGTTTATAATTTTGTTTAGCCGCATACCCAAACAGAGAACATACCCACAATAAACTATTTATATGCAATAAACTGTGTTTCACTGAGTGACACTCACTACACAGAAGTTCTATGACAGAACATAAGCTCACTACAAAGAAGGTAACTGTAAAGAAAGTTACTGTTACAGTCTGTGACCATAAGAAAAAATTCTATACCGTTGAGTTGCACGCCCTGGATAAAATATTGGCGCATAATTTAAAAAGAGCACAAAAAAATAAAATAAGTAAAAATACGTAAAATAGGTAACAAATAGGTGAAAATAAACTGACAAATTAAAAAATATGTAACAAAAGTATAAAAAGGTACTTTAAAGAAAAAACCTCCAAAAAAGGTAAAAAAGGTGAAAACAAGTTAGGTTCATATAAAAAAAAATCTTTTAAAACACATTTTGGCATTATTGGTTTTCAAATAGTTACATCGGCTGAAAAAAGGTTAAATAACTAAAATCCCATCCCTAATTATTACTGTTAAGCCGGCTGCACAACAGCCCAGTAACGGAAAGGGGAAATCAGAACTCATATTTCAATTTCAATTTCTTTTACTTGAATTCAAATTTTAACCGCACTCACCTCTACTGTAATGCCATCTATAATTATGATTTGTGGTGATCGCTGTTAATATCTATAAGTATTATACAGGCAGCTGCAATCTGAAGATATATTTTAAGTAAAGTTTAATTCGAAGAATTTCTAAAAGAGCAATTTATTTTTTCAGAAATCGCTCAAATTGCGGTTTGCGGTTTTAATTCGAGGAATTGCCAAAAGAGCAATTTTCTTTTTTTAGAAATCGCCCAACTTGCGGTTTGCGCTTTTTATAAAAAACTAGGCGCAAATTATTTCTTAAAACCGCCCAATTGGCGCTAAAGCGCCCAATATGGCAGCACTGGTTTCACGGTTTAAACCTAACTTTTGATTAAACTAAACGAGTTGAATGTCAAGTGTGTTTTTAAATTATTTATGCCTAAAAGTAAGAATTAAACTTTAACCCAAGGGACGATTTAAATTTTTAATTACAAGAATTTTAAATGATTTGTAAGCATTTGGTCGAAATTACCAAAGTTTAATTCTAAATATTTCCAAAACTGTTTTGTTAAAAAATAAGAGATAGATAATTCGTTTTTAGTACGTTTATTCGAAAAAAGACAAAATTAAGTAACGCAAACAGTAGATTAGAAAATAAATAATTTCCGAGTGATCAGGAACAAAATGGCAAGCTAAAAAACTAAAATAAAAATCTTGCCCCACCATATGAACAATCACAACAAATTAACAAATGGACTAAAAAAGATCACAGTTTTTCAGTCTGTTTGGATGTCTGCTGGTTCACTGATTTTTGTGTTGTCATCCACAGTCTCAGTTGTAGTCTCTTCAGTCGGAAGGTTTTCTGGTTCTGGTTTTTGGCTGTTTCCATTCTTTTCGGCTGCTTCATTCAATATTGTGTTCTGCAATTGTTCCTGTAAAACTTCCAGGTCTTGCTTCAGTTTAACTAGCTCCTTCTCCTTTTTGGTTTCAGGGTGTTTTTTTGGCTTTGTAATAAGTTCCTCGGCGATTACAGGTTTCTCTGGCTGCACCTCCTCAACTGCAGACTCAACAGGTTCAATGTTATTCATTTTAAGCTGCTTCAAGAAAGCAGCCCTGTCGATTTGCAACTGGCGGCACAGTTTTGACAACGTGGCAAGCCTGCCTTCAAACCTTTTGATTTCGAAGTTTTGCTGTTGATTTAGTTGGGATACTTCAAGCAACGTCGAAGCACCTGCCTGATATCTGGCTTTCCACTGGTTGGACTCCTTTTCAAGCAGGGTGACTTTTTTGCTCATCTTGCTCATTTCAGTTTTGAAATTCTCGAAAATTTTATTGCTTTTGCTCATGGTGGTTTCAAAATCTGAATATTGGCCGCGGTAAACTTCCACATGACTTTTTAAATCAGCCACTGTCTCTTCTAACGTTTTACAATTAGTTTCTGATATCTTCAAGTTGGTCTTTAAAATCTCCTTTTCTTTCGCCCAAATTTGCCTCTCTGTATTCAACTCGAACTCTAACTTTTGAATTTGGGCTGCTGATAATTGTTGGCTCAACTCCATTTGTTTATTCATTTTGGCCAAATTATCATCCCTCTCTTTAAATTGTTGATGCAAATCAGACAATTTTGTAGTCATTTTGATGTTTTCATCCCTCAACTTCCAACTTTTATCCTTATTTTCCTCCATCATCTGACTTATGTCATTCAGTTTCTCTGTGAATTTTGTCGCCACCTCCTTACGTTTCTCTTCGTCCTCCTTAAGCCTCTGAATATTTTCCTCCTAAAAAAGTTATGAAAAATATATATTTATATATAAATATAACACAATTTTACCTTAATTTGTTTATTTTGCTTCTGAAGCTCCCTACACAGGCTTTCCAATGTAGCTTTAGCTAAAATAGATCTAGTTTGTTCACCTTGAAGCTGATCCTTTTCTTTCTGCAAGACAGTATAGGATTTCTCCATATTTTGGAAAGTTTTCACCACTTTTCGTAGCTCGTTATACATGTCGACATATTTTTCAGATATATATTTCATTTTATCTTCATCAGAAAAATTAATTATGTGTTTGGTTACATTCTCCCATGACCTTGGGTCCCTTCGAGAACTCTTTTCATCCCTTTTCTTTTTCGATGTCCCTGTAGACAAGGGTTTTTCACTTTTATCACCCATATTTTAAAATCTAACCTAAAAATTAATTTGCTGCGTTTAATGGGTAATAATTGATTGTTAAACCAATTAAATACAGGAAAATATTTGTACAATTAGTAATATATTTGTGTAAAAAAATGTGACTTAAATTATGGTTAATTTAAAGTTTTATGAATAAAGACATGCTTAATTATGAAAATATATTTAGGTATATATAGGAAATTTCTTATTATATGACAAACCTGGTCTTTATTTTTAATAAATTCACTAAAAGACCTATTTTATTATCGGTGTTTTAAACAATGACAATCTGGTAAACAACTTTTGTGGAAATCTGTTTTATCGATAATGCATTATTTTACAATAATAACAATAAGTATTGATTTGAAATATTATTATTAATATAAACAATTTATTTTACAGTGTTTTTGTTTAATATTTATTGATTTAAGGTTTTACTAAAAAGGTTTCCTGTAAATAGTTATAGCATTTAATATAGAGGTCGCTAGTAATTGTTGTAATAATGTTTTAATAATTATTATTTTTAAATATTTTTGCGCATATTTAATATACCTACCTTAATATACCTTATATTATTATATTATTATTTGATAATAAATTTTTGTTATAATTATAGAAAAAGTATTATTTTTATATTTAAAAAAAAATTAATATAAATAATTCTATAAAAGGCATTTGTGTTGAGAAATTGTACGATTAAATTATTTTTATTAAAATAGAAAGTAGGGTTAAAATACAAAAGTTACCAATTTTAGACTTAGTTTACTTACCCCTTTAATCTACAAAATATACCATGAAAAATGACAAATTGTAAAGGAAATGCAAAATACACCGTGATATAAAATAAAGCGTAAAGAACTAACTAACCAAAAGTCAATATATTATTTTTGGATGCTTCTGTTGCTAAGTATAGATCCAACTATTCAGCTATAGCATAATAAAATTTAAAATTTTGCCGCCATTTCTCGCACATTTCGATCGATACAATTATGCTAAGCAACAATTATTGATTTGGAATTTACATGCAAATTTTACTTCCTTGTTAAATCAAATTTTGACCCAAATTTACACATGGCATTTTAATAATTACTTAATTGACTTTATGGAAAATTTAACCCATATTAAATTGTGTGTTTCAAATTGCGTCAAATATATTATTACTGCGCAATATATTACTCTTATTTGACATGTTTTGCGCAGCTCAAGAAATAATATATTTGTCTATATTACGTTTATTAAAACTATTATTATATTTGAGAAATTGAGAAAAACAAGTTGTTGTTATAAAATTATTAAAGTTATTTTAATTATTGTAATTCGTAAAACATTTTATAGATATAACTTGTAAAACACGGGCAAACTTTTTTATCTATCATTATTTTTCTTAGCACTTTCGAAGTTTTAACTGAACTAATAAACTTTATTACTTATGAAAGTTTTTAGTAAGAAAGTCAGAACAATTCCAACGGGATATTTTTTGTTTCAGTTTATTGTACAATTTTAAGAACTTTAAATTACTTGACAACATGTCTGTTAATTAAAACCGCCTAAAATAGCATTTCCTATGACTATTAAAAATGTATTAAACAAATCACATACTTATCTCTTATATGTTTTCGTATTGTTCGATTATAGTAGTTACTTAGCAATATTAATTTACTAATAGAGAATTAAAAACAATTAACATTCAGTGCGCGGTTATAATAATAATTATTCTTAAGGAGCCCCACCAAATTAATAATAATAAAAAATATGCGATTTCGAGATAAAGTGTTCAATGTGTTGTGAAGTTCTTAAAAAGTAAGTAGTACCTAGCTTTGTTAATAATATTTAGTTGTATAGATATATCCATAGATATATGTGTGTACACATAGTAAAATTTGATTTTAATGACATTGTTTCGATAATCGGAGCATTAAAAAATATTTATTTAAAAATCACCCAAATAACATAAGTACGATTAGTTGGTTGATTATTGTGGTGTTATCACTCTCTAAATAAGTTTTTCAGACAAACATTTGATTGAGCGGGCGAAAATTATTTTCCGACCAAGAAGACCAGTCGAATGAAAGATACAGGCTCGTGAGGTCCAATTCTAACGTCACTTGTGTCCCATAGGCGCAGTTGTCAAACCTCTCTTCAAAGTGTAAAATGCGTAAAAAATATTAACTCGAAATGGATAACTCGACGTTGAATGCAACGTTGTTGCACAAAAAATCTGCATTCCCCAAAGTGATCTATTTTGTTATGGACTTCGTTTTCATAATCGGCGCCGCTGCCAATATTTTGGCCCTTTGGATCATTTACAAATCGTCGAGAAACCGTAACAAAAAGCACGTGTTTTTATTGAGGTGTTTAGCGACTAACGACCTAGTGGCTCAGATTGGTATGCTAACGGTGATAAATTTGAATAAGGGCGACTATTGGACTTGTGTGGGATTCGTACTGCTCAGGGGTTTTGGGCTCGGCTCAGGCTCTGTCGCTTTTGTTATGGCACTAGAACGCTGGATGGCCCTCACCAGACCCTTCTTGTACCATCAGGTAACTTTTCCTTAAACCGCTTTAAATTTTAATTATAATCCAACATGTCAATGTGGTGTCTTTGAATTAGATTTAGGATTTTTGGAAGAACTTGAACCTTTCTAGATTATAAATTACATTTTCACGTGAATATTTTGTTATCTTTACTTTAATTTCTAAACAACAAAATATCAAGAGATACCTAAAGGTTAAAATGTTTAAACTATAATGTCAAACTCACATTCAAAAAGATGATTTGACACATAGGTGGTTTTAAAATAACAAAATTTCTTTTAAATGTGCTTTCATCTTCTAAGAATAGACGTAAAAATTATTAAATGCTCCTATTAACTAGAATGTTAAAACTAGTGGTTTTAGCATTCTAAAATTAGTTTAAATATGTTTAAACCGAATGTGATTTTTAACCTTCCTAAAAGTGGTTTTTAAATTTAAAACCACTTTAAGGCTTATTTAAGATTATCAAAACCTATTAATTTGATTTATTATCTTTTTAACTACAAAAATGTTTGTTATATCCTTAAATGTGGTTTTAACATTCCAATATAAAAGTGGGTTTTAAATTAAAAATGTGGCTTTGACATTCTAGTTTGACTTAAAAAAAAGTGATTTTTAGACAATGCTCCAATGTCAAAACAACATGGGGAATGTGTTAATCTTGAAACCACTTTTTGCCAATAAAATTTAAAATTAAAGTTTAACTAGAATGTCATACACCAATTTTTGCGGTTTTGAAAGTACTTATCCTTCTATAGTATATAACATTCTTAAATGTTTGTTGTATCCTTAAATGTGGTTTTAACATTCTAATATAAAAGTGGTTTTTAACTTAAAAATGTGGCTTTGACATTTTAGTTAAACTTTGTAAAAGAAGTAATTTTTAGACGATGGTCCAATGCCAAAACCACATTGAGAATGTGTTAATGTTGAAACCACTTTTTGCCAATACAATTAAAAATTAAAGTTTAACTAGAATGTCAAAACTACATTTAAGAATGTCATAGGCCAATTTGTGCATTCTGAAATGTTTGTTGTATTCTTAAATGTGGTTTTAACATTCTAATATAAAAATGTTTTTTTACTTAAAAAATTTGGCTTTGACATCCTAGTTAAAACTTTGTAAAAAAAGTAATTTTTAGAAGATTGTCCAATGTCAAAACCACATTGAGAATGTGTTAATGTTGAAACCACTTTTTGCCAATAAAATTGAAAATTAAAGTTTAACTAGAATGTCAAAACTACATTTAAGAATGTCACACACCAATTTGTGCGCTTTTGAAAGTGCTTATCCTTCTATAGTATTTAACATTCTTAAATGTTTGTTGTATCCTTAAATGTGGTTTTAACATTCTAATATAAAAGTGGTTTTTAACTTAAAAAAATATGGCTTTGACATTCTAGTTTAACTTTGTAAAAAAAGTAATTTCAATGTCAAAACCACATTGAGAATGTGTTAATGTTACAACCACTTTTTAGTAACTAAATTGAAAAATAAATGTTTATCTAGAATGTCAAAACTACATTTAAAAGTGTTATACACCAATTTGTATGTGAAAGTGTGTTTGTAAATTTATTAAATTTAATTTAAAAGTGATTTTAACTTCTAAAATTGGTTTTAAAAATGTTTTGACCCTCTTAAACAATCAATGAGGTTTTTAACATTCTTAAATTTAATTTAAGAACGTTATACATCCATTTTTATATTTAAAATCACTTTAATGTGGTTTATAATTTGTGGTTTTAACTATGTATAAAGAATAATTTATTTTTATAAATTGTATTGTCATTAGCACTCATCTCATCTCAAAATAGATAGATTGTTAAAGGAGAATCGATACATCTTGAAGTATATTTAAAAGTAAACCGATTTAAATAATAAATTTTAAAATTATTCTATCACACATAATTGTGTTCAAGGATTTTGTATTGTGTTATTATTATACCTACACATATTTTTACTTAAACGATTAACAAAAAACCTATTAGGGTAATTAGGTTCATATTTATCCAATAATATTAATGACATTTAGTGGAAAATTCGAGTGGTCAGTCAACTTTTTCATCCTATAATGAACATAACAAACAATTTAATATAAATTTTATGTCACCCACCCCTATATTAATTTTAATTATATCTACTGACAGTAACTGTTGCTAGCTGTTTATTGGCCCCTTAGGGAGTCGATGCATGAAAATAACGTTATTGTTCTAATTTTTAGATCGTCACTTACAAATCTTTGAAAATGTTCACGTTTGCCCTCTGGGGTGGAGCCCAAATTTTAACCTACTTACCTCTAACGGGCATGGGCTTGTTCTATAGCCCCGGACACTGTCTGTCCTATAGAGAGGCTACAATAACCAAAGACGTTATTTACGCCTATGCCTTTTTTGCATTCGGTAAGTGCTATAACCCAACAAAAAAAATTGTTTTGGATTGAAAAATTATATTACAATTACAATGTTCTCTTATCAAATTTTGATAACAATTATTGTAAATAAATATACGTTCTATAGACGATTAAATTATTAAACAAACTTGTTTTGGGTCAATTGTTCTATTTGAACAAACCATAGATTAATTAATACCTTCTAATTTTAAATTGTTTTTTCAGCCACATCGCTTTGTCTGTGCATAGCTCTATGCAACACAACTGTTGTAATAGAGCTAATGAAAATCCAAAAACAAAGCAAAGTTTTGGTAAGAAGGGTTAGCAGATCGATTATCAACAATAGTTGTTCGAGATATCAAACACCGGAAGAAGTGGCATTTGCCAAGTTAATGGCAATTATTTGCCTCATATTCGTATGTTGCTGGGTACCACAGTTGGTAATTATTTTGGAAATAACAAATCAAAATATGTAATTTTGGTGTATTGTATATTTTTATTCATTTAAATAGAGTTATTTGTCCTAAATTTAAAAATATATATTACCTATTTATTTTAAGTGGTTTGTTAGTATTTGACCAAAAAATTATTTTAATGCAAAAATTTATAAAACGAGTTTTAACTAAATAAACTAGTGAAGGTTTAGAATAAAAATTTAAAGAAATATATATACATATAAACATAAACATAATATATTTTGTTATTTTTCTATAATCAATAAGAATTATGCAAAATTCCCATTTATTAAAATTTGGTGTATTTGAAAGAAATCAGCATTTTCGGAAAATTATTTAGCTAAAGATTGTGAAAGATCAATCAGGTTCTAACAAATTTTCTTTGAAATTCACTGTAAAGAATATATTTTTGTCAGTATATAAAAACATAAATCTCGAGTCAAACAAAAAATTATTTGTTTAAACCATGACTTGCTTTCAAAGAAGTAGGCATGCTAAAAAATATACCTCATAAAATATTGCTTATTTTAGATATCCCATTTGCTGTTTCAATTCTATCCAGACTGGAAATACACTAAGATCCATGGAAAGGTGGCAAATTTCCTGACTTGCGTTTACTTCACCACAGATCCGTTTGTGTACGTTCTTCAGCGTTACAACAGAGAAGTATGGAGATATTTAGTGCCATGTTGTTTTTTGCGTCGCTCTACAACCAGCCTTAGTAATACAGGAACTACCACAACGCTAGGCACCCCGACGACAGTCCTTTTGCAGCCCCCTACCTATAACATGCCTGTAGATATGTAGATTTTTGTTTTTTCGCTTGACCCAAATTCCTTTGATTCAGTTTAATTTGTTTTTAAACCGCTCGTTGCATTAATGTTTTAACTTCTCACCTTACCTCAGATTTGTTTTGTAAAACCTAACATTTCGCCTATTAAATAATTGAAACAATTTTAAAATAACTCACTAACTAATCCGTTTGGTTGTTTTATTTGTTTTAGGTCAAATTTTAGAGAGGCTTTCACCAACTTTGATCTCACAAAATATGTACGGTAAATAAATCAGCAGGCAGATTATTACATACAGTGTGTATCAGCCAAATGGATTAAATTCGGTAATACATAAATTGAAGTTTTTGGAACACGCCTTCATTTATGTATTATCGAATATATTCCATTTGGATGATACATACTGTATATTTACTGTGTAATTATACCCTATTTATGTTACTAAACCTCCATACATATCCAACACAACAATTTGTATTATATATGTATAAGTACCTACATGTGATTTAATTTGGTTATTATTATAATTAACTGTATTAACTATAATTGGTAAAGGTACAATTTTAACAAACTGGAAATATTCCAAAATCGTAGATATATGTAAAATAGACTGATATTATGTTTGTGATATAGTTTTTTTTTTTGAAAAAATATACCCGTACTCTATGCAAATGGTAGTTTTATTTCCATGGTGCAATGTAACTCCTCACCTATCTAAAATCTCATAATCATGTCGAAAAAAAATTATGTAATCAATATTAACCGACACAAAAAAATATGCGTAAATTTTCGGGGTTTTACATTTTCGTGATTCCGTTTAAAGGTCTAAGGTGTAAGTTCCTAAAGATACTGTCCTTTCGTGTAAAGCTATGCGTGCTCACTGAATTTGGTCTTTACCTATCAAAAGTTAATCTAAAAATACTGCACATGCTAATACATAAATTAACCTTCTCGATTTCGTTTTACCATAAATTTTTATACGCTTTAGCTAACTTTCAATTTCAAAAATGCCCCTTTGAAGTTATATTTGTATGTTTGTATTTGAGGACGATATCCTTAAATCAACCAAATGCATATTCATGGGTAATGTTTCATAACCCAGAAACGAAAATTTATGAATCTGCATGTTGTGGACTAAGTTTTTTAGATCAAGTTTTTAAAAACGATTTTTAACAAATATTTTTTGAAGAATATTCTTGAAATATTGATATTATTTTTTGGCAAAATAAAAATATTGTTGTATGTATAAAAAAGTTCTATTGTGCATACTTATATTGTTGACTATCGATTATTTTGCAGGTAACATTGTTGGTTTTTAAAGCAAACTTAATTTCGTACTTTATCTGTTATCTTTCATCAACACGTTCGTAGATTAGGAAAGGTCATGTTGTACTTTACAAAGAACTATCGATTACAAGTTTTGCTTATTCTAAACTGTATACCAACATACAGGGCTTTCACACTGAAAAAAATATTCTCTTAAAAAAATGAAAATCACTTTGATTTAAAAGATTTGCGCTTTTGAATAGGGCTATGAGCTATGTTTCTGAATTCAAATCAGAAACCATCTTCACATCATTTTTTTTTAATTACTTGAGGTTAGAGATTAATCTATTCGTTTAAGGATATTACAATATTAGCTTAAATCAAGAGCAAGTGATTTCTTGGTACAAGAACCAAAAATATTTCTTCGAAAGATATTTCTCTTTTGAATGAAGAAAACGTTTTTAGCGCTAAAAAAATGGTATATGGGCGAATTTTCGTTAAATGTACATTTTGTATATATATTTTGTCCAGGCAGGTCAATTTGATCGATTTTTTTTCCTTTGTGATAGAACAGTGTAATAGACTGCAAAAAAATTCTATAAGTTTATAAATAACAAAACTAAACTTTAAAGAAATAAAACTTATAGGGTTAATCTGAAATAGGGAAGGAACACAAGGAAGAAATGAAACATTGTCCTCCTCCTAACCCATCTTCCTGAACGTTTTATGACACATTGCTTTTGAATTTTTTAAACGTTATTTTTCAGAAATACTGTTAAATGAAAATATCTTTAGGCATTTGTTTGGCATTTCTACTATGCTATAATACAAAATGAAAATAAAAAAGTTAACTTCTAAAACAAGAGTTGTATGTAGCGTTTTGTAAAAGACACCAAAAAGTGTACGTAAAAAACTCTTACCTTTAAAATATTTACAAAAAAATTCACAAACTTTACACGTTTACACTTGTTGTTGCCGAACTATCAAACTGGATGCCCTCTAGAAATAAAACGCCAGTATCTCTTTCTCGTGTCTCTATTTCGAAGCAGTCGGCATAGAAGACGACGTTAGGAAAAAGACAAGATTTTTGAATGTCAACTTTAATATTTTTTTCTGTTTAAACTACTTTATAGAACACTATTTTAGTTTTATATACGAATAAAAGAACTTTCCATTGTTCAAAAATAATTTATTTTTTCAGAAGAAAGCTGCAAAGAAGAAGAATATAATAATTTAAATAAAAAAATCGTCTTTGTGGACAGTTAGGTTACAGGACATTTCACCTAGTTTTTCTGCCATATATAGAAACACAAAGTAATTAAAAAAAATAAGATGGGTCCTAACAGGAAGGGGGTATTTAAATATAATAAATACAAAACTTATCAACAAACGTCAAAAATAAAAATAAAATTATCTGGGGACAGCAAATGTACATTTAACGAAAATTTGCCCATATAACAAGAAAACTGCATCTCTTAATTGAAAAGCTTAGGAACTAAGAAAGAAAATTTGTCTTGGTACAAAAGCATATACTATTGACCTAACCACATTTTACTTTGATTTTAGAGCAAATATCTCTTGGTCCAATAGTCAGTGGCGGCTCGTCAGGGTAGGCCTCTGAGGCCGCGCCTCACCCTTAAAATAAAGGAACGAACGACTTTTTGTATTTATATTTTTGCCTATTACAAGTGTATTTTTACAACAGTTCTACCCAATAAAAAGTAAAAAACCAATCAATCATATTAAGCGTAAATAAAAATCCAGGCGCAAAGCGCGTCAAGTTAACGTGCATCGTTGAGTCGCTTGGACAGAGGCGAAATTTTCACAGCCTCGGAAGCTCCCATTTACCTCTTGAAAGCGAAAATGACTCACCAACAAAAATATCGCCGTAAGTTCGCGAATAAACACCGTAGATGAGGCGAAATTTACTTGGCTTGGTTTGTTCTGATTGGTGGTCCGTTTATGGTGGGATGCCAGCGGAGACAAAGAAGGTTGCCAGTATTCTCTTAGCGTTTGTAGAGCACGTTATTGTTTTGATTCAGATTAAATTATTTAAAACTTTTGGCTGATCTTTTATAGTTTTTGTCTCGATTAGTAAAATTTCTTATTTAATTATTGTAGGGAACACACTAAGGTAGATTTAGCAGTTTTTATTAAGCAAATTTTATATTTTGAAATAATAGATTGCATATTTCTTCAATTAGAGACGCGGTTTGAAAATTTAGAATTACTTTTAAATCTCACTGCAGACCCACAATTTTACGACCAAATAATAGATAAATTTTCAATCTTAAAAGATAGACGTATAGTATTTTATATTTTTTAATACTTAGGTAGGGGTCGAATTTTTAGTTTTATTTTTATTTTTTGATTAATTTATTTATTTTTAACTTTTTTAAGACTATATTTTAAGTTTAAGATTAAAACTAGTCTTTGATGTGATATTTTGTTTGTTTTGTTTTTTAGAGTTTATTTTTTGGTTTAGTAGTGCTATCGGCTCCATTTTAAAAAAGGTCAACGCGTTGCAGAATAATACCTCCCGGGTGACGTGGAAATTTATTCGTATTTAGTCTAAATAATTTAGACAAAATTAACCTTATGTAGCCTCACCCTCCTGTACACCCACGAGCCGCCACTACCAGCCTTGTTAGTATTTAAGCTTAAATAGGCCTTTTGATTTTAATTATTGAAACATGCATTTAACAATTAAAATCAAGGACCTTCGTAGTGAGGGGAGTTCATGCCTAAATATTGGCATCCTTGAAAACCAGAAGATTAACTGAAAAAAAGGGTTACAAAAAAAAATTTAAATAAAATAAGACATTTATTGTTTTGTATCAACAAAAGCGCAAGTTTTTTTATACGAACACTAATAAAGTAACATAAATATGATTTAACATAAAATTTGTATTACATATTTTAATTAATACCTTACCTTCAAAAACATTAAAACATTAATTAAACTTAATTTATTTAAAAAGAGTTTTAATGATTCCAACTCCACTGTGAAAGTACATACAACACTCCACAACACAACACAACCGGCAAAATGTATATTAGAAATACCTGTAATCAGGCCCGTAGCCAGCCGTAGGGCCCGACGGGCCCGGGCCCCCCCCGAAATTTTCTACTGAAATTGAAGCTTTTGTTCGACAATTGATCTGTATGTGCGTGACTGGCAATTAAAATACAGTGATGATATTAATAACAATAAAGCAGTTTTTTACTAATGAGTCCAACTTTAATAACAAATATCCATCAACCATTTCTGCCCCCCCTACCACCCAAAAAATTATTACTACGTTTTGGGCCCCCCCTAACCAAATTTCTGGCTACGGGCCTGCCTGTAATATAATTATAATATTATATCACTGCCCCTAGAAAATGGCGAATTGCAAGTTGCAATGATACAAAACGTACTAAACACGTGCGCCGCAAACGGTGTGCGTATTTTGCATCCCCTCCCACATATCAGAAGCTACCAGATTTTGTTGTAAAATTGACATGCTATTGGGATTCTTGTGATTTATCCTGAATGAATTGCGTAAATATAAATAATTTTCATAGCTTTTGAACAAAAAAACTTTGCACTTGGTTGAAAGAAGAAACATTCAAGAGGTTTTGTATTTGTATTTGTTTTCAAGAGAACTATACTTCTTCCACTAAGATCTTTCTAAATTCTTTGGCAAAAGTTTTTGAAATTATTATTTACGACAGAATATTTTCCCACTTTAAGTCTGAGTTTTCACAACATCAACATGGTTTTTTACCAGACCAATCTCCTCCTGTTTTCCCAATCAGCATGCTGCAGCAGAAGCCATTAAAAATAAAGTACAACTTGATACAATTATGACTGACTGTGCAAAAGCATTCAATAAAGTAAATCACAAAATACTATTAAAAAAACTAGGTACACTTGGCGTCTCAAAGCAGGCACTGCAGTTCATGTACTCATACCTTGTTGATAGGCATCAGCGGGTTAAAGTAGGGCAATCTCTATCCTACGAATTTGCTGTAACATCTGGGGTGCCACAAGGCAGTAACTTTGGACCACTCCTTTATACAATCTTCAATAATGACCTACCAAAGAGTGTCACACACTCATCCTGCCTTATGTTTGCTGATGATTTCAAGATGTTTAAGCCTATTTCCTGTTTGGAAGATTGTAAAGAACTACAATCTGACTTGGATACAGTAGTTGATTGGTTTAAGAAAAACAAAATGTATTTAAATATAGACAACATTTACAAGAAAGGTGAACTACATAAGAACATCATACAGTGTTAATAGCGAGCACCTTGTTCGGAAGTCTCAATGCAAGGACCTGGGTGTCTATTTTCAAAGCAACTTTAAGTTCAATACTCACTATGAACTTATTGTAAACAAAGCCTACAAGATCTTAGGCTTAGTAATTAGAAATACAAAATATTTCAGAGATACTAAATGTATAACAAAATTGTTTAATGCTCTTGTGAGACCTCATCTTGAGTATGCTTCTGTTGCATGGTCATCTCGGGCAGAAGTCAACATAGATCTTATAGAGAGGGTTCAAAAAAGATTTCTTTCTCTATGTCAGGGTGCATAACCTCTATCCATATATGATCTCCTACAGAAGCATGCTTGAGGAGTTCAATTTTGTCACACTCGAAAGAAGGCGGTCATTGCAGGCTGTACTTCTTGTATATTTTATTATCAACAACTTAAAGTATAAAAATCTTCAATTGATGAATTTTGTTAAGCTATTGGTTCCAAAGATACATTTGCACATGCAGGGAAGTAATAGGTTTTATTTTTATCTAACTGCTCCCCATTTAGAAATATGCTGGAACAATGCAACTTATTATTGGAAGTATCCAACATTGACCTATTTATGGGAAATAATACCAAAGAAATTAGATCACACTTTCTCTCATTCTAGTCTTTTATTCTTAGTTTAGGCTACTTTTACATCTGTTTTTGTTTTGTTACTGTTTTTGTATTTAGATTTTAATTATATTCATTTATTTATCTCTTACTTTTAATTACAATTTGTATTGTGTTTGTAAGTAGTATCAAAAATAAAATAAAACTTTTTTCTTTAAGGAATAAATACTCTTTTATGCTAAAATATTGTTTCTTGCCGCTAATAATTTTTTATCAAGAGAGTTGACTACTTTAGTTTAAGGGCACCTTTTTTTAAGTGTACGACAAAAGAATCCAGTTTATGAGGATGGAGCTACTCCTCACTATGCTTTACCAGTCAGAGAATGGTTGAAACAAGATTTTTCGAGAAATGGAATGATACAAAACGTGCTAAAAAATGGGCGGCAAGTTCTCCAGATTTAACGCCACTTTTTTTTCGGGGTCATTTAAAAACACAAGTCTACAAAACAGCACCTGAGAACATGAAAGAGGGTGCAACATAAAATTTGTTTTACACTGGATAACCTGTTTGTGCTCAAGATCATATTTACTATCACTCAAAAGTTATTAAGGGTGGCTAGTTTTTAATTAAAAGCCACTGTATTTTGATTGGTTAAATCAACGTAATTTATATTTTATTTCATAATGAATATTAAAGTGGTAACCTTTTCAAGAAAAAAGGTTAACAGCTACATGCGAACCACCCAACAAGATAATTCCTGCAGGACGTATCCGGATATAAAAAAATACACCATGAATGTATATTACGAATTATCTGAACTGGAAAATCGTTACCACATCATTAAACAATTTAAAGACAACGGCAAATCGTGACATTTTTAAATGATGACAGTTAATGAGAATTGGGAATTATAGTTTGCGTGCTAAAACAATTATGCACGGGTAAATATAAACAAAATTATGCCACACTCCTTGATCGTGAAATTAAATAGTACGATAAAATGCTAGTTGCATTTACATATTAATTTTAAGGATTTGTGCTTTATGTTCGATATATTTTTGCTGTTTTGCAATCTAAATATTACTTTTAAAGTTTTTCCACTTTATATAAAAGTTTTTATAGTAAGGTGAAATTGGGTGATGGCAGACAAAAACAAAATAGGTAACCTTGTGCGTAATAGAGACGATTAGAGGGGGTGGGTGGCTTTAACATTTGAAGAACTTCTGCAGAGATTAGTGTTTATGACGTAATAGATTGCGTGACTTGGTCAATATTGGCGCCATAGTGACCCTTACCTTATCGTGGTAAGATCCTCATAAGAAGCTAATTCTATGCTATATATACATGCATGCTAAATGTTAGATTATTTGGCGCAAGCGTGCTAATGGCGAAGTAAGTAAGGTCTGCATAAAGAGTTAAACCATTTTGACCAGAGCTGTGACCACCAAGGGTTCAGTTGGTGCCTTAAAAATGAACGGTTTTTATGTAACAGTGTCGATACCGCTGCTTCTAGTGCTAGCTGGATTCAATAATGCACATGGACTGACGACGTTCGGGAAAACGAACAACCAAGGAAATCAAGCCCCAACTGGTACGGATGTCTCCAAATTTTTATCTATTTTTTTTAAGTCTATTGAGACTCGCACGAATAAACTTCACTGTGATCGAGAACTCTCGATATGAAACTACTTTTTATCATTATAACGCTCTTATTTGCTTTGCACTATGGTACAAATATAAATACAAAACTATCATGTTTAATATATAAAATATTTATTTTTTTGATTTCAGCACAAGGCAGAACCTGTACAAGTCAAAATCAATGCACCACGATCAAAGGAACTACCTGTTTAAGAGGATTTTGTCTATGTGGGGACAATTCAAATCCAATTAACGGAAAATGCAACGTCCAATATAAGGGTAAGCCAAAAACGCTTTGCGACAAATCTTAAGAAAAATTGAAAATTTAACAAGGACAATTTTTCATTAAGCATTTTTTATACTAATCATAATAAATAATAGTTATTTATGTCATAAGGCTGAGAAGTTAGTATTTTTGTGCTGAGCTCAAAGTCGAAGGATTGAAGGCACATTTTTATTTGTTAAACGTACCTACAATTATAATAACAATAATAAAAAGTATAAAGTGCACTCATGAGGTTATATAGTTAAGAACTGTAAAAAGGATTTTTAAAGACTAGCATGTAGAAAGCTTCACCTGATTGGTCTAAATTATTTATACAGCCTAGGAGATAATCCTGCTGGACCATGCTAAATCTGGCCTTGTGTATAGAAATTAACAGGAAATGAATATTTAGAGGGTGTTTTAGTATAAATGGGACACCCCTCTAAAAATTTTTATTTATATCTTGGTAAAATTGATAAAATAGATATAACATTGTTTTTTTCAACACCCTGTTTATATTTTTTTAAATTAAATTTAAGCTTACACAGTTCATAATTTATATATAAATATCTGTAAAAATGTTATTGTATTTAGATAGGTTTCCCAATAAATATACAGTGTTGGCCACTGTAAAAAAAATCTAACTCCAAAACGCCTTTATTATTCTTTATGAAATTTTGGATAAAAATACGAAATACGAAACGAACACTAAAGAAGATACAGTGCTTCAAAGTCGGTAAAAATGGCCCCTTTTTGATTATTTTGCTGAAAAGTGGTCATTTTTGACGACTTTGAATTGCTGTATCTTCTTTGCTGTTCATTTGATTTGTACAAAATGTTCAGGGTATACTAACAAAAATACGGTCTTTAACAATATATTTTTTATTTACTTAAAAAAAATTACCCTAAAAGTTATTTTTCGAACGTTTTTTCATTATTAAATAAAAGGGCTTTAAAAATATTTTCTCGAAAAACCCTCGAACACGTAAACTGAGATATAAGTTGAAGTATTTTTATCTAAAATTTCATAAATAATAATAAAGGCGTTTTAGAGTTGGTGGTTGCAAAAATTATGACAAACACGGTACATACTACCATTAATCAATGATACTACTATTACCATTGCTATTACTAAAGATTTAATAGGGGTGTCCCTTTTATAAGAAAATATACATATTGCGTATTACAAAAATTGAATTATTTTAGCCCCAACATCGTTTGACCTAAATAAATAACCCCCCAACTTACCTACCGTGATTGCTGGTAGACAAAAAAATACTCACGGCATCATTTTTCATGGTAACAAATTGCACCGACTGGAAAATTTTTCACGATAGATAAGGTCTAGGGTTTTTTTATCGGTCAAAGGAAGTTCTTAATAAATTACCATTGCATGTTTAGTTTGCCTGCAATAGACAATTAAAAGGGTGGTTTGTAAAGTTTATTGTCACACTGCACATGCAATAATGAGGATTTTGCAATCATAAATTGACGTGACATTGAGGTTTACAAAATGAATAACTTTAAAAATTGGAATTTTCATTTAAAAATTTGTACCTTTTTTTCTATCCGTGGACACACTGTATATGCAGGGTAATATGGGGAGTTATTTTAAGTAAAACAAATCTAAACACTAGTTTTTTAGTTATTGTTGTGGAAAAATTCAAACAAGGCAGCTGAGGTTTACAGATGTAGTTTCTGACAGTTTATGTCAAAATTATACATCATTATAAATTTGTTAACGTCTTTAGAAAAGTGTTTCTAGTTAATTTCACCCAAATTTTTCAAACAAAAACTATCTTCTTCTGAAATTAACTAGAAAACACTTTTTTTAAGACGTTTTTAACAAAGTTATAATGATGTAAAATTTTGAATTTTTGACATAATATATTCTGTAAATTTTAAAAAAATTTGAAATAGGTAAAGAGCTAGACTTGTTGGTAATCAATGATATCACAATCACATATATTTGGCAATTTAATGGTTCCTTTGTTAAATTAGCATAATACAAATGAGGGTCAAACATTCTATTTCATTTATAAAAATGATAATTTTTGGGACTAAGAATAATAAATTTTAAAAATTTAACTTTATAGGTCCTAGACACGTTTGTGAAAAACACGAGGACTGCATAGATGGGGCGGATTGTCTACCGAAAGAAAAAAATAAGCCATTGTCAAGTACCACAACATCACCTGCTGATATGATATGCCAGTGTCAGGAAGGATTAATAGAAAATGGGCATGAATGTGCTGGTAAGAAGAATATTCGAAAATCAATCAAATATAGTCATGAATCAGTATGATATTATATCTTGAAATAACTTTATATAAAATATTTTTATTTCAAATAACACATGGTAATTAAGTTTGCCAGTATTGATTTTTTCTTTGCACCACACAATGTTACATTTAATTTATTCAATTCCACCCGACATTGCAATTTCCTTTGCAGAAAATATTGAACGTTCAACAGGATGTCACACTGTCATATAAGAACAGTAAAAATGGCGGTTTTTTTTATCAAACCCACGCACTAAAATGTGTTTTCATTTGTTATCATTAACGTTAAAGTAAATAAATCGATTTTTTCAATTGAATTTTTACCCTCAACTTAACAAAAAAACAATATTGAGTTAACTCATAAATTTTTTGATATTTCCATGCATGTATTAGAACCATTAAGTTTATTATTATAGATAGGGATCAGTTGTTGCATAAAATATGCAACAAACTAGTCAAAATAACCGTATCTAAAGTTTAAACTTGATTTTACAAATAAAGTGCCCTTGTTCTATGAAATTATTTAACCTAGAATGTTCTGCATGATTTACTGATTATATTTTTTGTTTTAGGTGGAGGTAAATTTAGTATTCTCCCTGCCCTAGTATTAATTATAATAGCATCAATATCTAGAATCATGAACTGAATTAATTAATGCCGACTTGAGCGTTAAAATAAAAAATATGCACCTAAAAATAATTAATGAATTAATGTAGTCATATATTTATCACTGTTGCTTAGATCTGTTGTGTTATCGAAAAATATATATCAAAACATAAATGTGTCAAAAGTTGTGTTAAATATTAAAATTTTTATTAGATTATATATACGCAACAACTTTAGTTGGTGCATCAGACAGTACAAATACCCCGTTTAGCGGACAAAGACACAATGTTAAAATGTGTATTTGTTCGCTAAATACACTGGGTATATTTAGCGGTAGTGTTTTTGTATTTTGTTCACGAATTATCACTGAATCGGTTTTGGTCTTTTAAACAAGCACCTCCACATTAATGGACAAATTACATTATCCTTGTATTGTAATTTTATATATACCTAATACGTATAGTGCATACTTTATAAATAAAATATCAAAAATTTACTAGAAGTTTTATTTATTTAATAAAATGAACTAAATATATATTTACAATATTTTTATATAACAAGGATTTTTATAAAAACTAGATTATTTATTTTAAAATCCTTGCAAATTTCTAATTCTAACAATATAAGACGAATAGGTATTAAAATATTTAAAATTGTCAGAAATTAAAATACTTTTACACAGCCACTTAATTTCGGAATGTAAAGAGTTCAGCTAATCCTTTACATATTTACTATTAAGTACTCATCAACATTTATATGGCATCACCCCAATTAATATAATACATTTTAAAAATGACAAAGATAATAAAAAAATACCGTATTTTCATTTTTGGTGTAAACAGCTGCGCATTAACGCCAACAACGCTGCAGTGTCACGACAACAGATATTCAGTGACGATTCTCTAATTCCAGAGTATTATAGCAATGGTATATTTTTAATTTTTTTTAAGATTACCTAATCTTTCCAAATTTATCATATTGCCAATATAAAAGTAAATTAAATACTTTCTATTAGCCAACATACAAAAATTTAAAATGAGAAAAAATGCCTACAATAATGATTATGTATTATACAACAATGCAGAATAACCCCACTCTCTTTCAAGGTACCTACTGTACCTACTTTTTGCGTAGAAATACGGTATATTTATTTAACTGTATACTGCCAAAGGGCATATTTCTTTATACATATATCATATTAATGGGATGATAAATGTTGATGAGTGTAGTAAAAGAAGAAATATCGCAAAAATTAAACGCAATATTAGGAAAATATATTTGTAGAAATAGTCTAATTTTTGGGATAATTCTAATAACTATAGCTACCATACATTTATTTGTTATTTACACCCATACATTAAATATGGAAGGATTGTGTGTTTACTTATAGGGGTTACATTGAATAACAAAGGTGGCATTTTTTTTTAAATTTACGACGGATTTTTACGTTAATAAATTTTCAGTCTTGTTTGCATAACCTTATAATGAAAATATATACAAATAAAAAATAAAAGAAGCAATACAATTTTGAACTATATATCCCTTTTTTGTCTACACGTTTTTTATTGTTATTATATCACAATATATTGAACATCCCGACTTGCTTAAAATTTCAGCATATATGTATATAATCACCAACATTTATATTGCATAATAATTGGGGTGATGCAGTATAAATGTTGATAATGTTAATATAAAAATTAGGAGTACGGTTAGACAAATGGAATGACCAATATCGAAAAATACTACTAAATAAAAACGCCTATAAGTATTATACTGAGTGTTTCAAAACTACTATGACACAATTGCGACTAAATTAAAAAAATTAAAAACTTTTTAGTTAATTAATACTTAATCTGGCGTACAGGCTCGGTATAAGCGACAAAAACCATACGTAACTTGATATTATCAAGCTATTTGAACCGCAATGTAGGTCATCCCTGGGATAGGAAGTCGAGGGTGGGGACTCATCCCCCAGTTTACATCTCTCCCCTCGGGCTTTAAACTCCTTCTAAAAACAACATAAATTGTTTAATGTTATAATGCTCCACTTTCAAATTTGTCCAATCAAAACTCACCGCGCATATTTCTTTACAAGGGGGACATTTAACGGCCCCCTTATGTAGCCAACCATTGCTAATAATTCGAATTGATATCTCCTGATTCGCATGATAACACTCATAAGAATAATTTCCAACCTAAAAGCAACATTATTATAGCGATTTTTTACTTTTTTTCAACAATATATTACCAAAATGTGTAATCTACCATTTTGACATCGGTAACCATAGCAACCGCTTCCCCAATGCTGCCATTGCCTCATCTGTCTGCAAGATCTTTCCTCCCACATCTGGTTTGTATGCTCGAAGCACCGGGAATTTTCTCCGTATTTTTCCAACGCAAAATTTTTATCCGGCTCTGAAAATATCTCGCTTATGACAAAAAAATATTCTATCCGAAATCGGCAGTAAACTAGTCAACAATCGGCGGTAAAGTAAAAGAAATCGGCAGTAAAGTAGAACTTTACTGCCGATTTAATACGAGTATTGTATGCAACCCATTATACATTTTAAGATGTGTCTACTGCTCCTCAGCAGCAACTAAATAATATTTGATCATCAAATGACATTTGATTTAATCATCAATATTAATTATTAGTATTATTAAATGTGATTCCGGATTAAATTTAATATGCACCTTGGCATTAAAGTCATTTTTTATCACTCATTAATAACTATTTCATAACTTACTAGGATTGTTCTCAACGTATTGGCAATGTGAACCACGTACTATAACATTCTTCGATCGCCATGTAAATTCCTGAATGTAAGGACAATAATCTGCCAATGTGACTGATCCACCGTAGTAACCCTCTTTGCCTGGATCCACATGTTGGATGTAGTCAAAATTCTAAAAAAAATGCAAATTATATTAATGAAAAACGAATACATCTCCTTAGAAAACAATAATAATTCAAGGCAAATGAAAATCCAAGATGGCGGTTCACAAAATCAATTTAGATTCTAGACAATGTTTGTTGAATGAAGAAAGGTTTTGGACTTCTATTACCTTGGTATTTTAAATCAAGACGTTTCAAATGGTAAGTATCTTCCAGTGAATACTGAATAAGTCACGTAGCTTCAGGTCTTCAGGTGCAATAGAGCATCCAAAGATTTCCAGACGTTCTTTATGTCCACTGAAGAAATGACAGGGTTCTTGCGCACGAATGCTGCTTCCGTAAACTTCCTCTTCTTCCTGTATGGTTTTTTGAGCAAAATTTTTGCTTCTGACCACCTGATATTTTCACCATGAGACCAGTCAAGTGGTCTTACCCGGTAGATGCAGTTTTTCTTGTCCTTCTGGTTTGTTGGTTTTGTCTTTGGAAGGTATCTCTAGAGCTGAATTCAGTATGGATGTTACGTCTTATTTTTTCCGAAATTCCTTTGAAGCATGGAATGTTGGGCATTGGTTTAGGTTATTGGTCTTCTATACGGCTTTTTTATTTTGTCAGCTAATTTCATGGGGTCTCTTTTAATAAGATTTATTTGTTTTTTGAGTTGCAGATGGTGATGGCTTTATCTATGAGGAAATTGTTTCGTATTGTTTGTGTGGTCGTCCTTATCTCAGATAATGAAGGTGTCGACCACGTATCTTAACCACAGTTTTAAATAAAACGCAACGTATTGATTTTATTTAAAATTTAATAAAAATATTTGTTTAAGGCTTAATAATAAAACTTCGATTTATCAAACATTTCATTTGGTTAATTAAACTTTAAAACCTTTGTGTTGTTTTTGTTTGTATTCTTCGTATTACGCAGTTAGGTATTTGAAATTTGATTTGTCGCGTGCTTTATGAGTATGAGTATGAGTATAAGAGACGTATAACCAGCCCCATTTCCTCTTGACTCTTAAACCCCGTACAGGCCTATGTTTACTTACGCCGATTTTTGTTCTTCCCCAGCAACTGCACGGCTTCACCCGTGTTTGCTGGGTGCGAATGTCCATTGCGTTCTGTACTGTCCCCTATTTGGGGCTCGAGAGCGAGAGGCGAATAGTTATAATAGCCGTTCCCGGGTTCGCCGGGCCTATGCTATACGCTCAGTGAGGTATGGATGAGGGACGGGAGGGAGTTGGTTTTTGGGGGACAATTACGCCGACTTAAAACTAAGTACGACGCGGAATCCCCCTAGACCAGTCGGTTAGTATTACTCCAAACATTTGGGATTACTATTTGGAGTTGGGGAGTTGTTATTACGCTGCAGGGGTGTAGTTTCCTAGTCGAGGTCTTCGTCTTGTTCATTATTGTCATTATCCGTGTCGGATAGTTCCTGAACTTGGTAAAGTGTGTCGGTTGTTTTTTTTTTTTTTTTATTTTATTTTTATTGTTGTTTAGTTGCTCCCAACTGGTCTTGTTACTTTGTGAGAAGTGCATGTATTGTGCTACGTGTCATGAAATGAAGCATGGTCTACCGATTTTTTTTGTCTTTAAGATCTAGTTTAAGGGTGGCTTGTAGTTTGTTGCGTTGTCTACGAGTGACGTGGACCCAGTGTTTAATTGGGCTACTCTTACCCTTTTGGTAATGGTTTTTCCCATTGGTACGATAATCGGCACACATGATAAACTCCCCCGCAAAGAAATACAACCCCCCGCGGCCCCCCCGGAAGACAATCCACACAACGGCAATCGTGCTACGACTACCGCCGTGTAGACCATCCCCCGTATAGGCCACGGGAGGCTGCACCCCCCCGCGGAGGAGCCCATCACTCGTGCCGAGCGTAAGGCCGCAATCACTGCGATAAGGCAGTTCCCAGTGGGGGTATTTTTTTTACTTTTACAAATTTTATAATTTTCTAAAAGTTCGCTTCTTTCTCTTTTACTTTTTTTTTTATGATTAAATTATAATAATTATTGTTACATAATTATTACAATTATTGTAACTTAATTCCGAAAATTCGATAATTTTATTTACCCAATTCGTTAATTTCAACTTTTACATCTGGCAATACTGCTATTCACACTCAACTTGTTTATGTTTTTTGTCTTCTTGCATATTTAGTTTATTTATTTATTTATCTTACGCCTTTTTCGATGGTTGTTTATGATTTGTCTGCTATGAGAAAATGAGGTTGTTTGTTTAAACTTAAGGAAATGTTCTTATTCTTTTTTAATTTAGTTTTTGAGACAATAAAAGAATTCTTAGTATTTTCTTTTTGCAACATTGTGAAATGCTTACATAAACATTGTGAAATGCTTTTATAAACATTTAGCGAATATACGGTAAGACATGCAATTGGAAAAAATAACTTAGCTTGAGTCCAGTAAATTTCGTGGAAGTGTCGTCTCTCTCACACCTTTTAACCAGGTCCAACACTTGAGGATTTAATCAATGGGGGAGGTACCACACACAATTTGCACTTTTTTGCACTTGGGACAGTTATCACGTTTAGAATCGATTGATTTTTTATTATTTTACGGCGTTAACCAGTTATCACGTTACTACATTTGTATCGTATACGCTGCTTAAGAGAGATCGATGAGCATATGCTTACACTTCAAGCGTCAAGAGCAGAATGTTTGATTTGTCGCGTGCTTTATTAAAGCAAAATTAGAATGCCTGTCTTTGACGTGGAAAATTAATTAAAATGGAAAACGCTTACCTGATAGAGCTTGGGTAATTGTTGTGCGTGTTGTACAAGGTTGCAGAGAGCGACTGAAGTGCGGTCATCGGTACATTCTGTTTGAAGAGGTTCGCGCTTCAATTTATTACAAAACGGGTGAATTGAAAAGCCTCTGAGAAACAAAACAACAAGAAATTTCAAACAATAATAAAATCCAAGGCGGGTACACCTATAGAAATTCTATGTAATTAGTTTCCAAGTTATGATACAGTAAATGGCAATGGCATGGTTTAACTCACGAGGATGAATAGGCCATGCATCATTAAATTTTAACATTATTTTGTGTTTTACTTACTTGGCTGCCTTCATGGTAATCCATTCCTTGCAACTTTTCGTCACAAAATCGCAGCCCAAATTTTTTCCCCATGACATCTCCCCGGCCATGGAATAATTCGCCACATACCAGCCAGTGTCTTCCAGTAATGCCAATGTTATTCTAGATATGATCGGGTTCTGGGTGTGAGTTCCAGTCATCGCTTCATTCTATAGAAAACAATTTTGCACAGGAAGACAAAATAAATGATTCAAAAAATGACCATCATTTTGCTCAGCTCAGCTCTTCACAAAATGATGGTTATTTTTGGCACACGTAGTGAACAAAAAATACCTCAAAAACTCTTTTCTCCCAATGAGTTAGTGCCGTGCCTTCGCCGCCTTGATCTTCCAATTCGGCACCCTCCAAAGTCGAGCAATTGAAATAGTCTCGCGCTTCTCTGACCACATTCGGGGTGACAATCATCTGCACATCTCTCTTCATCACGCCCGATCTCACCAGCCAATTTTGCCGTTTGAAGGTTTTTATCACCGAATCGCTCCACTGATAAGTCTGCAGGCTAAAATCCAAACCCTTAATCGACTTCCTACGCAATTTTTTCGCTTACGTTTCGTTTAAAGGTGGCTTTCCCGTGTCAGGTCTGCGTTGCGTTAGCGGCTCTCCCCTCGAATCGCGATAAAACGCGTAAAGGCTCACAGAAAATCCCAACGCATGTAGAATTTCATGCTTAACGGTCGACAGTAGAATTTCCAATTCCTGGCGTTTTGTGCTAATGCTATTTGGACAAAGGTTCGCGTGACCTGCAATCGGACTAAAAAAATTGATTTTTCTTTTTGCTCTTTCAAATGCTAACAATGGAATTTTCACGAAAAGGCTTTAGTTTATTAAATAAAAATTTCATTATTCTCCTCTATTTCAAAGGATTTTATGTTTAATACCAGCATTCACTATCTACTAAAATTCTATCTAAAAGGGTATTAACCTGGCACTAATAAGCTCAAGACGGTATAGACTCTTAATAAGCTTATAATCAAATCTTATAAATCTTAGAAATAATTATATAATATACTAATAGTGATTCTTTTCTATGCTGTCTAAATGAAATTCAATCCAAGATGGCAGTCCACAAAATTTATTTATCAACCAACTTGAATCAAATTCAGCCAATGGGTTAGCTATAGTTTAAACATACAGCTCGTTCAGACTAAAACCGAATATATCTATATATATATGGGGCGTGGCCTCGCCTCCCTCCAACGCGCGACACAGTAGCTAAGCAAATAGACTGCATCGCTAATAAGATTTTTTGCATTATTATCATTTAATCATTTAAGTCCTTACCTGCTCGACCTTTCGTCATGTCGTTTATCACACAAGCAACTGTGACGCGCCTTGGAGGGAGGCGAGGCCACGCCCCATATATATATATGGATATATTCGGTTTTATTCTGAACAGGCTGTATATGATAAAAAATAGTTTTTTTTCAAAATGCATTAAAATTACATAGGAAGAGTGGTTTCATCTATCGTGTTTAGCTCGAAATCATCGAACATATGTCAAACGTGCCACCCACCACATCTTCAGTCAATTGACTTAACTTACCGATCGAGAGCGAGTTCTTGTTGACAATGCGCGGCATAGGCGACAGTGAGGGACTTATTGCATCGTTCTGTCTGCATGGCCGACACGTAGAAAACGAAATCGTAATTTCGTATGCCGTTGCCGGCGGTGGAGCCTTCGGCTACGCGGCAATCTTGTCCGGTGGCGTTACATATTCTGCATACGTCTAGATGGTCTTCAGGAACTTCGACTTCTCCGCACATCGTTTTTTCCTTGCACGCATCTATGCAGTGCGTGTAATTATCTTTGACGAAGATTTGACTTTCGTTGCATTTTCTGTAATAATAACTTTTGTTATGCCTGCTAAGTAAGTTCGCGCAATATGATAGGATAGCTTCAAGGTGTATTAAATGTGCACCTTTAACCCAATGCTCACCTTACTTTCACTATCAAGTTTAACAGCGTTCGGAAGTTTTATTAACTATTACGTACATTCGTATACGTCCTGGAGAAAATTAAATAATATACAAGTTCAGGCAAGAAATATTTTTTTTTATTTTTAACACGAAAGGCCATGTAATTTTTTTGAAAATACAAATACAAGGACGGTAGTTTAGTTCTTCTATACTTTTTATGAATTTATTTATGAAGTTATCCGAAATGCAAGGTAAACAGTAGGTAGTATTTCCTTCACATTAAAAAAATTAGGTACATACTGAATGGTTGTCACATGTAACTTGTACATTTTTATGTAAATTATCGTTGTGTAAATGTACATGATCAAATTTAGTTTTGCAAAATTACAATGTAAACAAAATGTTGTTTTTCTACTTTCAAAAAATACCAAATTTGGGGAATGGTTAATTTCGTTATTTTACCTACATAATAACCTTTTTGATCTACTAAAAGAATAACGTAATAAAAACAATATAAATACCACAAATTTATGTAAAAATAACGCTATAATTATTAACTGTTTGCTTTCTCTTTCTAAAACATTGACATTCGTAATTTCTTTGTTCTTTTAATTTATATTTTACAAAATGGTACTTACAAAGCAGAGCTGGCCAAGTACTGAGTACTTTTACTCGTATTTCAATTACGAGTCAAAAAGTACGAGTACTTTTTTACTCATAAGTATTTGAAATACTTATTACTCGTACTTACAAATTCAATGGACTCGTAAAAAGTACTCGTGGAATTCACGAGTAATATATACGAGTATTTTCGTTTATTATATGGATGACTTTTTGCCAAACAGCCATTCCACGTTACTCGAGAATTTTTGTAGCGTCCGTTACAATAAAAAATTGTGAGTAAAAGTACCGTAATTATGATGCTTATAAGCTTAAGCCTAATTATTACAAGCAAAATAAACATGTTTGCAATAGTAACTATTGCAATAGTATTTAATTTAATTATCGGAGCTGTTACTCACAATTTTGTATTGTAACGGACGCTACAAAAATTCCCGAGTAACGTGGAATGGCTGCAAAATATCGTAAGAATCAAACCATTTTTTTTTGTTTTAAATTACCTATATAATATATAGTATAATATAATATATTTTAGCCTTTAGGTTTAATAACAAGTAAATAGGTAAAATTCTAAACTATTTAAGAATTGTTATTATTTTATGTACATAATAATAAATATTTTTATAAATTTGTATTTGTATTTTTATAGCTCAGGATCAAAGTATGTATAGTGTACACTCTCTAAAAATGAATTAGTCAAAAATGACTAATTACCACAGTTATTAGTGGAAATTAGTGAAAATACCGTCAAAAATTATGAAAGTGGAGCAGTTTTTGAGATAAAGTCAATTCCATATTATATGGAAAATGGACTATATCACAAAAACTATTCTACTTTTCTAAATTTTGATGACATTTTCGGATTCAGGGAACAATTTTAGATGGAAATTGACTGCTAAATGTTAAAAATACAAATTGCTATTGACGAGAATTATTAGTGGCTGCTTTTTCGCTATGACAATTAGTCATTTTTGACTAACCCATTTTAAGAGAGTAAAGAATAATCAATTATATTAAATAACTTTTTTTTTCACGATTACTACTCGTAACTGTAACCTCTCTTTACAAATGTACTTACGAGTAAAGTACTCGTACTTAAAATTTTACGAATACTTTTTTTAGTACTCGTGTCCAGCTCTGTTACAAAGTAATAAAGGCCTCCCTAGAGTAAAATTAAAAAATATAACTTAAATTGTTAAAACTAATAATATTTTGCTTTAAAACTCAAACGCACATTATTTTATTGAAAAAAAATGGGCACGATACATCTTAAAAATTATTTGCCCTCTAAATATTTTACGGTTTTAACAAAAATTATTGCTTGGGTAAAAATTCAACAAAACTTAAAACCTACAAAATTTTAAAAAATCTTTTAAAAATCATTTAGTTTTAATCATTTTTAATAACTAAAACTATCCTTATTATATTTTAGATATTTATAAAAAAATATTATATAAATGTTTAGAGTAAGTAATGGATGCCATCTTAAAAAACTGATTATGGCGAACTAAACAAATTTTCCTTAAAGTTTTATTTTTCACTTTAAGCTTATTTTTCCTTGTTTAGGCAATATTAACAGTATTTATTACCACTAATAACCCTAAAAAATACCAGGCGAATAGGAATTATTTACGGTTATAGTGGTATTAATATCGTTAAATTATGACATTATATTTACCATTAAATAAAAATCCTGACGTTAAAATTACCGTTAAATTTTCCTTTAGGTGAAATACACTTATAAGTAATTTTCTTTCGTCCCTCATAAAACTTTAAAGTGTTGAAACTTAAGGGTTATTAAAATAGGTAAAAATAACTTATTAAATAACTTTAAAAAAAGTTTTACTTCAAAGTAAATTTTAAAGGTTTATTTAAAACAGAATATTTACTTAAATTAAGTAATATTGCCTCAAAGCTCTACGCTTAAAATGCTGCTTGGGTATCTCAATACAAAAATACGAAAAGATTAAATAGTTTTTTAACGCCAATTTTTAAAAAGATTATATAAACGTTATAAATTCATTGTAGTAGTACAGTAAACTAGATTTAACTGATAATTTATCAGTGATAAAGCGATAAAAATTGCGTACAGTGCCCATTAAACATTCTCTTCTATTTTACTGTAAAAAACTGCTTCCAAATCGATTGTTAGTCTATTTTCAAGGGATAAATTTTGATTTACACAGAAAAATTTAAGATTTTAACGCCGGTAAATTCCCAAGTAAAAAAACTGTCACTTTTTTCCCGTGTAAGAATTTTTAATATTTTGTGATCATATTTTGCAATTATAGTAATAAAAAAATACCATAACATATTTTCTTAACATAATCATATTTTAAAGTTATTTTAATATCAATAACAATTATTGTTAGGATTAATTAAAAAACGGGCAATGTTAATGGTGTATATTAGGTACGTCAAAAATGTTTATTGGATTCGTTACTTTATTTTCGTAAGTCGCTTTATACAAATATTTAATTTAAACTTTATTATGTCAACACTAACTACTAAATTCATTAAATATCGACTCGGCTGTAAAAATAATAAAGACCAATCAGGTTAAGTTGTGTACCCCCTACTCTGTAAAAAGCATGTTTAAACCAATCAAAAAATTCTACCTAACTGTTTTTTTGCTCAATTGTAGGCTTAGACAAAAAATAGCTTTATGACATAAACAACTATTAATATTTCAGTGTATGTTAATTACTATAAACAAAAAGTAGTTTTTACATATTTTCAGTAACGCGATTTTCACTTCTTTTCAAAAAATGCAAATAATTTTACGCTATAAAATAAATAGAACTAATTTCTAATGAATAATGTCAAACAAGGTTATTTTAATTCAATAAAAATGGCGATTATCGTTAAATTTCTCTTATGTAAAAGGTTGTTTTAAAATATATCAGGTTTCTTTTTAAATTGTTATCTGAAGTCTGTGAATATGTTGTGATCATTTAAATAATAACTCATTTCTTTCAGTGGCGGCTCGTAGGTTCTGGGCACAAAAAACTTACCTACTAATTTTTGTACATAAAGTCCATTCTCCTATTTTTCATGCGAGAAACTGAATTTTCGTGCGATGTGTTTTAAATCATCTAACCCTTGTGTTAGAAATAATTGTTCTTGGTAATAAGTATTAAAATATTAGTTCACAGGAATGCCCTCTTAATGTGTGGCCCGTGAAATCTATTGACTATTATTATTGTTTATGAGACATTCGACACGTTTATTTACTTAAGCAAGCACTAGACTTAGGGGTCTGGTGGTTATCTGCCGAGCAAGTATTTAGTCTTATGGTAATATTTGTACCAGTCGAAACTATTCATGTAGAATTAAACTATTTGTGATTGGCGTGTGCAATATATTTGTTATTATTGCTAACAAATCAGAAGTGGGATAAAAATGCGTAAAAACATAAAATAACATCATATACTTGCGTGTTTGGTTTTACTGCATTTAATTAAATTTATATTTATGGCCGTAAGGAACGGTCAAAAGTGAAGGGTTGTAGCCCGTTTAGGGAGGTTGTCGCCTCAAAAGTGAAGTGTTTTAGCCCGTTTAGGAGGTTGTAGCCTCAAGAGTGGAGGCTTATACCTCAATGCCTCGTGGTCTGTGACCAGTTTTTTGTTAGTTTAGTCGAGTCTGTACTCGTTCAAGTAGTAATAAGTTTAGTCAATTTAAAAGGAGTCGAGTATGTAAGGTAGTAAAACTTTTAGTCGATAGGTGTAACCAAAAAATGTTATAGTTAGGTACCCTTGTAATAAAGTAATTGTTAGACCTTATGCCTGAGTGAGGACACTCATTATGCAGGATGGCCTAATGTTAGAAATAATTGTTCTTGGTAATAAGTATTAAAATATTAGTTCACAGGAATGCCCTCTTAATGTGTGGCCCGTGAAATCTAATAGATTTAATCTATTGACTATTATTATTGTTTATGAGACATTCGACACGTTTATTTACTTAAACAAGCACTAGACTTAGGGGTCTGGTGGTTATCTGCCGAGCAAGTATTTAGTCTTATGGTAATATTTGTACCAGTCGAAACTATTCATGTAGAATTAAACTATTTGTGATTGGCGTGTGCAATATATTTGTTATTATTGCTAACACTTGTTTATTCCACGCACGTAATTTTTTTTTTTTTAAATTAAGCACATAAAACAAAAAAAACTAATTGTTTACTGAACATCCGCATATCCACTCGAATTTTTCATAGATATTTCTGTATTGTAAGTTCGGCCTTTACCTGCGGAAGTGTAGTGTATTCGAAGATCGGGAACATGTCTTCCTTTTTTCTTAATTAAAAGTTTATCTTCAAGTGACATCGGGCTTTTTTATTGTAAATTAAAAATAAGCAAAACACGTAATTCACTTAAAACTTAAAAAACACAACGGTGCGTGGCGACAAAAAAGTTAGAAATCAAACAAACGGACACAGATACCAGCTGAGCGGTTGAAGAGACACTGCGTTCGGTGCCCCAAATTGACGATATATTCGCGCACAATCAACACATGTGTGGATTGTGTATTCGCGTACTGAGAGGAGAACCGAAGATCATCGAATCATACTCGGAATAGGTACATTTCAAATTGTGCCCCGGCGGCGCGCGCTGAAGCGTTGCGGAAAGAAAGTTTAAATTCAACCGTTTGAGCGGACGGAAGGAAGGTTTGAGACCATACTTAAATAGTAATTACAATGGTGTTACGTACAACTAAAATAATGTACAATGCAACAAATAACTTTTATTACTTTTTATCTGGGCGGTTGGGTGGGCACATGCCCTTGTGCCCTTTAGAACCAGCCGCCACTGATTTATTTTACTAGGAAATTTTCGAGCAATTTTGCTAAAACCACACAAATATCAATTACCTGTTAAGGCGAATAACGTTCTCAACTTTTCTAACAAATAAAGCTTTTTCCCAGAAACTCACTGCCTCTGGTAATATCGTGTCCTGAAAGAAAAAAATGAAGGTCAATCCAATATCATCAAAAATTACTACACATAAAAGATTTAATCTCATGTGAATAAAAACACTTCCTCCATAAAAAATTGTTTGCTAATACTTACATTGATTAATTTAAATCTCTCTTGATCCAATCTGAAAATAATCAAAAATTAAGATAAACTGTTCTAACATAATAAATCACCATAAGTGATTACCTATATACACTATCATCATATTTCAACAGTATCCGCAATGGTTGATCAGCCTCCCTTTTTTTCATCACATGCGCCGGCTCTATATGGGTGTGAATAACCTGCAATTAAACAAAAACAAATCGTCGGTATTTCAAATATTACGAAATTATCCATCTCTTATATAACACGTGCTTCTATGTGCTATTAATTAGGCGGTGCATCTGCACTTTCCTTTGCAATTTTTTAGGAAACCGTATAATTTACCAATTCATCAAGTACCCACTCATGGTGAAAGTAATTGATAGCCAAATTATCTTATGTAACCAATTAAAAAAACAATATTTTTTCATAAATACTTTTTTATATAGAACACCCTGTATTTTTCTATGACATTTTTTTACCTCTACAATAAAAATGTCAATTTCTGAGAAGATTTAATCCTTTTAAAAGGCAAGTTGGCATGAAGCAATTATTTGAAAAGGCAAGACTTATTTAAATAAATTAAAATTACCTTAACATGACAAAGGAAGCCTTTGGAAATGTCTTGAATGGGTTTATAAACACGCGTTGTAAAACATTGAACAGGAAAAGTATAAAAGAATCATTGTAATAAATAAGTATAAACAGTTTTAAAACACAGGATTAAATGAAAAAAAAAACCTTTTTAATTGATTTTTTTATTGTTTCCAGTGGTTATTATAATTTGTTTCCTTATTATTTTCACACAACTTTATTATAGTGTGGGCAGGTAGTAAAAGCAAAGGTCGTTTATATCAAATATTTTAGGTTTAAATTGAATAATTTTTGAAATATTGTTCTATTGTTTTTACTGTTTGTTGTGGTATTGTGTAAACTTGTTCATAAACTTGCGGTTTAATGAAATCTCAACGATACTATAAAGAATATTAATAATAAATTAAAAATACGTTTTAACGCACTAAAAAGTATAAAATAATGTAACTTGGCACTTTGTATTTTTTAGTCTAAAATTTAGTTGTTAGTTACATTCGCCATGTTGGGGCGGCCGCCATATTGGATTTAGTATGGGCTCTCCCACCCAATCGTGCATTGTCAGTTTTGACTTAGAACGTCTAAGTTATGATCAAGTTTTAAGTCTGCAGTTCATCGAATGGTTAAAAATCGAGTGCAAAATTTCGCTAAACCAAATGTTGATAAGATGCGTCAGCTGTATACCAAAAATTAAAATACTGTATAATTAAATTGCAAAACTATTAATAGATTTGTAATGTTCTTTGAATTGTTTAATTAATTAATATTTTGCTATGAAATGTGTTTTATTAATTTAAATCTGGTAATTTCATTATAAACAATAATTGGAAAAATGTAATGCAGCAAATTTAGTTATGTATGTATGTATGTATGTATGTATATGAATTGTAAAAAACAATATAATAAGTTAATTATACAATTTAAAGAATAATTGATACGATTCAATTATATTTATTTAAAACAACTTTTATTTCTAGTTATAATAATAATTGATACATGAATTACATAATGTAACTACGTAATATATATTATTTTAAAGATATATTCCCATGGTTTAAACAATATGACAATACCTTCATGTAACTTTTACATAAGTAAAAGTTATTTATATCACAGACTTTCTTGAACATCGTGGTTTTGATAGGTTAAAAAAAGTAATTCCCAAGTTCTAGAGCGTAAAAATTTAATTCGCTCGGGTATACAATGTCAAGTATAATTTTTTGTTTATTAGATATTTAAACCTACCTTGTATTTTATAATTGTTCAGCCTTTGAGATTTTATAGTATATTACATTAACATTTGTAAAGAATATTTACTATTTGATACTCTAAAGACGCTTATATAAAAATTTTACAAAAGGAAATCGTGTGAAAAATTAAACAAATTACGACATAAAACGCGTAAAATTATAATAATATTAGAAATAAAAATAATAATAGTGTTTCCAAGATTTTTTGACACAAGACTTTTTTAATTTTATCTAAAAATGTGTTATACGGATTTAAAATTTACGGAAAAATTGAGCCGGCTGAAAAAAACCGTTTTTGGGAAATTTTCAGGAAAATTCACTTTGCATTTTTTCATAATAATAATATTAATATTTTTTTTCTGTAATAAAGGATTTTTGTTTTAAATTAAAATAATGTTAAGATATTGATTGCTAATTTTTTAAAAATGTGTATATTTTCAAAAAAAAAACAATTTTTCGAAACTTTAAAACCATGTTATTTCACGAATTTCTTTTTGTCTAATGAATGTTAAAAGTATTATACCTACATGTTTTTGAAACTAATAATAATAATAATAATAATAATCATTACGTTTTCACACAAACAAATTTACATAATATTGCAATATTATATTGCAAGTAGCATTTATAGTGGTTAAAGTATATTGCCAAAATCTATGTGGTAGAAACGGTTCTATTACGTGGAAGTGACTAAAATGGGGAACACATTTTTAGTGTCAGTTACATATGTTCCAACAACGTTCTTAAATTGTATACAGACACGTTAATACCACGCTGTGATTACGTTACTATAACGTGGAAGTATAGTGGCCAAAACTTAATCGTAACTTTACTAATCTACACACATAAAACTGCTTTATTTAAGTTAAATATAACGCTATTCTTAAAAATTTATGTTTGTAATAAAAATATAATTTTTAAATTAAACAGAATTTTTAAATTGTTTTAAAATTAAATATTGTTTAAAATATTTCTTGGTTTTAAATATAATATGTTTATTTTTAATATATTTATAGTTAATAACAATATATAGTATTTTAGGCGGAACTTTATTGAAATGTTAAAAATCATTATCACATATCTTTAGTTTAAATAATTTTAAATATTCTTTCTTTATTTTAAATAAAAAAATCAACTTAATTGAGATTTAAACATATATTTTTGGCATATATTTCTATTCAACTTAAATCTTTTCGCTTTATTTAAATTAAACATATATTTCGGAGATCTTTTTATATCGGAATAGGTAAATACCCCCACCCAAGCTATACCAGTTTAGGGCCGCCAAATGTGTTCTTTCTCTCTGTGTCGTCCGCCTCGTATAAGCGTATAACCTTAAAATTGTGAATTATTAGAAGAAAATGGATGTTTCCCATATTTTAAGAGATTGGGGGTGCAATGAGGAAACTATTAATGTTTTTATAAGTAAGTATAACTTTATAGTTTATACAAACGCGTTGTAGGTACGTACTGTAAAACATTTGAAATAATATTTTAGAAATTATCTGTACAAGTTTGTATCACATTGTACGACGTTGTATAATTTATTTATTTATTTATTTTACACTATAGCTAGCAAAACAGTTCTTTAGAATTGGTACCGCTAAGTCTATGTTAATTTGAATTAATTCTTCCATTCTTCTATTCCATTATTTAATCCTTTTTTTAATTAGCATTTATAACTTTCCATTCTAAAAAACATTACTTCCAAATATCTTCATTTTATTTTTTTAAACCATAAATTTTGATTAATATTTCTGACATCGATGACAAATATATTTCAAATATTAAATTAATTTGCTATTTATGGTAGGTATATCAGAATGTACATTCTTTTAAGATAATTTAATTTTATACCGTACCTTCATTTGCAAGCTATACATAGGGAAAATACATTGTAGGTGGACCAGACAAGTCGAAGCCAGCGCAAAGTGAAAAAGTTCTCAGAAATTATTAGGACGTAATAAAATTTTAATCGCCAGTAAACAAGGTCACCTGTTACGTCGCATGGCGGCGCGACTTCGACTTGTCTGTTCCACCTACAATGTATTTTCCCTATGTATAGCTTGCAAATGAAGGTATAACAATATTTACCTTCTTACTTAAATTAATAAGTAATAATTAGTACCTACATGTTAAAATTTAATCTTTAAATCTTTAATTTAGGTATACCTACTGCGAATCTACTAAAGAATTTTTCTTCACCACAAAAATGTCACTTTATATATACATATATATATATTTTTAATAATACTTAAAAAGTTTTTCATTATTTGGAATTTTTCTCGAAACTGTCATGGTTAACTTTATGAGCAGCATTAAAAATGAGTTATTTTACAAATAAGTTTGTTAAGCACAGAAAAAGTTGTTGACGTTTGGTTCCTTTTAGATAAGCATTGTCCAATTTGGATGGATGTGTCATCCAATGATTTTAACATCACAATTTCAACCCCGTCACCCTAAAAACCAAATAATACATTTGTTTTTATTTTGTATAGGCTATACCCTGTTCAAAGTTATCTGCCCACCATTGTTAACTCCGTTACTATTGTAGCTACAACGTCGGTTAAATTAACAAATTTGTCTAATTTTTTTTCTGATTTAAATGGTGCTACTAATGGTTCATTTTTAAGTTTACCTATGTAATAATAATTTTTTCAAATTTTCCAAATTAAATTGTTTCTTAAAATAAGTAAAATATACAGGGTGTCCTATTTAAAAAATGTTAATTTTGTGAATATTTCGAAAACCCGACGTTCAATTGTTTTTTGTGCTTACCATTTTAATCAGAAGAAAAAATGCCACCAATTTGCTAATTTAACTGACTTTTTAGTTCCAATTATAACGGAGTTAAAATGGCATCAATGGTAATGGTAACTTTAGACACGGTGTATGTAATAGAATATGTATATATGTATATAATATATACATAATATAGGCACCTAATGTATTTTTTTGATGATACCAAATTTTTGTGTTTAAGTTCCTTGACTTTAAATGTTGTTTTATTTATTTTTATAATTTTATAATATATACATATTGTAGGTACCTAATGTATTTTTTTGATGATACCAAATTTTTGTGTTTAAGTTCCTTGACTTTATTTATTTTTATAATTTTCCTATTAAACCAAAGTAGAATTTAGGATTATTTTTACTACATCATGTTAGTTTTTAGTTTTTATTTTGCAGGTTTAATTTTTTGTTAAAAGCAATATGTAAAAAAATTATAAATGTATTTTTTATAAATATATGCATATATAAACCAAATATTTAATTGTTTTAATTTAATCCTGAGGTATAATTATATTAATTAAACCTTTAATTTCAATAAATTAAATTTAATTAAAAAATATTTAT